AGCCATCTTCCTTCTAAGTTAGAGGTAATTTTCAAGGACTATATAAAAATTCTTCCTCTCCCGGGTAGTTTTTTAATTAATATATTAATATTGCCAGCAAGGAAAAGATGGCACAAAAAGTTAAGAATTTACCATTTGTTCTGCCTAACCATCTATTCAGGATTTTTAGGAATCATGTGCCCTTTTTTTCCTTCATCTAACATAATTTCAGACTCAAGCTCTATTAATTTAAATTGATAGTACTTGCACTATTGGTATTTTAGATATTATCAACCCAGTACCAGAAGAACCTTTATTGTAGGTGGACATTATAGCGAATATGTCAGTTTTAAAAATATTTGGCGGTGGGAAGATGAAGGAAATTAATCAGAAATTTATTTATTTATTTACATTTATTTACATCACTTATATCCCGCCCATATCAGCCCGCAGGCGACTCAGGGCGGTCTACATATCGGCACAATTCGATGCCATCAATACAATACAAAAGCAAAAACAATTAAGTGCATTTAGACAAAAAAGACAGTGCAATAACAATTTAAAAAGAGCTATATCCTCTCATTCCAATCCTCATCCGTTTCATCGTCTTGGCCGTTCCTGGGTCATTCTCCATCTCAAGCTTGACTATTCCGGGGTTCCGAATGCCTGCTCGAAGAGCCAGGTTTTCACTCTCTTATGAAAGGTCAGGAGGGAGGGGGCTGATCTAATATCCCTAGGCAGGGAGTTCCACAGCCGAGGGGCCACCACAGAGAAGGCCCTGTCTCTCGTCCCCGCCAAGCGTGCTTGCGAAGCAGACGGGATCGAGAGCAGGGCCTCCTCAGATGATCTTAACTTCCTGGAGGGTTCGTAGGAAGAGATGCGTTCAGATAGGTAGGCTGGGCCAGAACCGTTTAGGGCTTTATAGGCTAAAGCCAGCACTTTGAATTGGGCCCGGTAGCAAACTGGCAGCCAGTGGAGCTGATGCAGCAGAGGAGTTGTGTGCTCCCTGAGCGCCGCTCCTGTTAGCAACCTGGCTGCTGCACGCTGGACCATTTGAAGCTTCCGAGCCGTCTTCAAAGGCAACCCCACGTAGAGCGTGTTGCAGTAATCTATGCGGGATGTAACCAGAGCGTGGACTACCGTGGCCAAGTCAGACTTCCCAAGGTATGGGCGCAGCTGGCGCACAAGTTTGACAATATAATGTACTTTACATTTAATGCAAAACTGTCATACTTAGATAAATACTTTCAAATACAGAGTCAGCAGGGTATAGTGGTTTGAGCATTGGACCGTGACTCTGGAGACTACATAGTGGAAATAATGCAGTTTGACACCACTTTAACTGCTATGGTTCAATGCTATGGGGTCCTGGGAGTTGCAGTTTGGTGAGGCTCCAGCACTCTTTACAAGTCTAAAGATCTTGTAAAACAGTGATTCTCAACCTGTGGGTCCCCAGATGTTTTGACCTTCAACTCCCAGAAATCCTAACAGCTGGTAAACTGGCTGGGATTTCTGGGAGTTGTAGGCCAAAACACCTGGAGACCCACAGGTTGAGAACCACCGTTGTAAAACTTCAACTCTCACAATTTCATAGTATTGAGCCATGGCAGTTAAACTGGTGTCCAACTGCATTCATTGTATAATGTAGATGCACTCTGATGTTCAAATTCCCACTACTCAGCCTTGGAAACCCACTGGATGACCTTGAGCAAGTCACACTCTCTCGGCCTAAGAGGAAGGCAAAGATAGAAACTCTTCTGAACAAATCTTGCTAAGAAAACTTTATGGTTTGTTTTAGGATCTCTATTAAGTTGGAAATAATTTGGGACACTCAACTTTCAAACAGCCAGTGTTTGAATTGCAATGTTTGTTTACATTTCGGCACAAAGCTCTCTCATTTTACCTAAGCTCCACATTTACTACTCTGAACTCCGTATTTACAGTTAGCAACCACTGCTGTTTATCTCACCTAGTAAATTTCCCTTATAAACTTTCAGATAATTTAATTGCTGTTTCCTTACGCATACCTGTCTGTATTGATTTCCAAAATCATACGTCTCAGTTAAGAATCTAAACTCAAAACACCTGTGTGTATACTAAGTAAATCGGTTTAGTTTACGACTACAGTATTTCTTCAATTCTAAGGCCCTTTCCACACAACTGAATAAAATCCCACACTTTTTGCTTTGAACTGGAATATATAGCAGTGTGGACTCAGATAATCCACTTCAAAACAGATACTGTGGGATTTTCTGCCTAATTCTGGGTTACATGGCTGTGTGGAATGGCCCTAAGACACCATCAATTGTAAGATGCACACTAATTTCAGTACCAACAAAAAAAAGATTCTATCTCTCTCTCACACACACCATCCTGTTTTTAGAGATATTTATATGGAGGAAAGTGCATCTTGGAATGGAAGAAATACAGTATGTAGATATTTTTGCTTTCAGCTGATAGCACAAGGAAACTGGCATTCCTCACTTGCCAAGCGAGGAATGCAAGGAATGCAAAGCTGCCAATTTTGGAGAATAGAGTAGACCTTGGGAGGCCGGAAATTATTAAGGTGGCCACAGGCACAAGGATTTGTATGCGTATTTACAGGCTTCATGTGTCACACTATGTGGACAGTGGCTTCCTAGTAAACAAAACAAAGGTTTCCACAGGCAGTCTGTGCTAGGAAAAAACCAAACTGTCCCATATGGCACGTTAAAGGCTAATTATATTATTGAAGTGCAAACGCCCATAGACTACAGGTCATTTCATAGAGCACATGATGACTGTATATGAATTAATATCTTCGAAAATCTGCTAGATTTCAGCAGCTGTTATAAAAGCAAAGCAGCTTATTATGTGACAAAGCTTTTTTAAAAATAAGGAAGAACAATAGATGCTAGGTGGCCATCCTCCTCTTTTCTAACAGGACAGGTTGAATATCCCTTATTCTGAAATCCTCCAAAACAGAAAACTGCCCAAATGGGTGGCTGGTATAAGGTTACATAGTTTTTAATTTTGTATGTATTTGTTAATTTTTATATAAATATAAAATAATTATTTTTATATAAATATAAAACAATTATTTTATATAAATATAAAACAATTATTTTTATATAAATATAAAACAATTATATTTATGTGTTGTCGAAGGCTTTCATGGCTACAATTACTGGGTTGCTGTGCGTATTCCAGGCTGTATGGCCATGTTCCAGAAGCATTCTCTCCTGGCATTTCGCCCACATCTATGGCAGGCATCCTCAGAAGTTGTGACGGCTGTTAGAAACTAAGCAAGTTAGGTTTATGTATCTGTGGAATGTCCAAAGTGGGAGAAAGAACTCTTGTCTGAGGCAAGTGTGAATGTTGCAATTGGCCAGCTTGATTAGTATTCAATGGACTTGCATCTTCAAAGCCTGGCTGACTGCTCTCTGGGGGATCTTTGTTGGGAGGTATTAGCTGGTCCTGATTGATTCTTGTCTGGAATTCCCCTGTTTTTTTAGTGCTGCTCTTTATTTGCTGCTTTATTTCTTTATTTTTAGTAAATAAAGTTTCTTGCTAGTTTCCAACAGACCTCACAACCTCTGAGGATGCCTGCCATAGATGTAGGTGAAACATCAGGAGAGAATGCTTTTGGAACATGGCCAGACAGCCCGGAAAACCCACAGTAATCCAATTATATTTAAATAACTATAAAATAATTACATTTATAAAAATATAGAAGAATTATATTTATAGAAATATAAAATAATTGTTTATAGAAATATAAAATAATTATATAAATATAATCATTTATATTTAGAGAAACATAAAAATAGTCATAAAAATACATACAAATACATAAAATAAAAATATTAAAATAAAAATACAAAATACAAACTTTCGGGCAGGTCAATGAACACAAACTAAGCTTTAGGTACAAAATAATTTTAAAATACATTGTGTACAAAATGACCTTTAGGCGATACATATATGAAATATAAACTGAATATGAAATATAAATATAAAATGAAATATAAAATATATGAAATATAAAATGAATTTTGTATTTAGATTTGGGTCCCATCTCCAAAACATCTCATATAAAAATGGAAATATTTTTTTAAAATGCCAAAACACTTCTAATCCCAAACATTTTGAATAAGAGATACTCAACCTCTACTGACAGCCTGTGGAATACAAGGTAGAAAGAAAGAAACATAAACAAATCCTGGGGCCCTTCCTGACAAGCCCTAGATCCCAAGTTTTCTATTTATCCCAGATTATTTGGCAATGTGGACTCATATAATCCTGTTTAAAGCAGAAAACCGGGGATCAGGTATTGAGAAAGAGAGCCTGTCTAGAAGGGCCAAATTTACGACTGATGCTACGAAGGGTGCACCTACATTATAAAATTAATGTGTTGTTCATTCGTTCAGTCTTTTCCGACTCGTGACCTCATGGACCAGAGCTCCCTGTCGGCCGTCACCACCCCCAGCTCCTTCAAGGACACCTCTTTAACTGCCATGGCTGGATGCTCTAGAATCCTGGGAGTTGTAGTTTTCCAAGGCCCGCCTCCTTTCTCTGCCCAAGAGGTCTGGTGCCTCGCCAAACTACACACCCCTAGGATTAAAGTGGTATCAAACCGCATTAATTGTACTGTGTAGCTGCTCCCCTATGCATATCTCCTCCACCATTGCATCATTCTCTCCATCTGATAAACAAGACAAGGATGGAGAGCAGCCAGACTGAGTAGGGAGGGAAGGGAAGGTGGCCAAGGTGACTCAGGTGTGGAAGGAGAAAGTGGCATCACCTGGATCCGGATTAGATATTGCTGAGGAAGGAAAGGGCAGGGAGATTAGAAAGGGAAAGAGAGAGATCTAAATGGGAAGACAGGGAGAAAGAAAGGTGACCCGGGTAAGGAATAGGTGAGTCCATGGATTGGGGGTTGGTTCTCCCCAAATGTACCTTTGGAGAACAGGTTGCACATAGGGAAGGAAGGAGCCCCCAAGGCTGGACAGGGGGGGGGGAGGGACACAGGCGTGACCTACCTGCGGAGGTGGTTCCCTATGGGTGGGCAAGAGGAGGGAGAGAGGGAGGAAGAGGCTGCCTCTCTTCTCCGGAGGCTCATTCCCGAGACTGAGGCTCAGCGGCGGGCGCGGCTACGCATGCGCACTCAGCCCCCAGCCACAGGGAGGAGCCGTTTGGAGTTTAAGGAGGAGAGAGAGAGAGAGAGAGAGAGAGAGAGAGAGAGAGGAAGGAGTTCTGTTTAGCTCTGGCATGGGCCAACTTGGGCCCTCCCTCCAGGCGTTTTGGACTTCAACTCCCAAGCGGCTGAGGGGGGAAAGGAAAGGGCTTGAGGCTGTTAGGAATGGTGGGAGTTATTTATTTGTTTATATACCACCTTTCTCACCCCTGGGGGACTCAAGGCTGTTTACAACATGTTGTCGTTGTTTATTCATTCTGTCGCTTCCAACTCTTCGTGACCTCATGGACCAGCCCACGCCAGAGCTCCCTGTCAGCCGTCACCACCCCCAGCTCCTTCAAGGTCAGTCCAGTCACTTCAAGGATGCCATCCATCCATCTTGCCCTTGGTCGGCCCCTCTTCCTTTTTCCTTCCGTTTTCCCCAGCATCATTGTCTTCTCTAAGCTTTCCTGTCTTCTCTTTGGTTGTTCATTCATTCAGTCACTTCTGGACCAGCCCGCGCCAGAGCTCTCTGTCTACCGTCACCACCCCCAGCTCCTTCAAGGTCAAGCCAGTCACTTCAAGGATACCATCCATCCATCTTGCCCTTGGTCGGCCCCTCTTACTTTTTCCTTCCATTTTCCCCAGCATCATTGTCTTCTCTAAGCTTTCCTGTCTTCTCATAATGTGGCCAAAGTACTTCATCTTTGCCTCTAATATCCTTCCCTCCAATGAGGGAAGGATATTAGAGGCTAAGATGAAGTCCTTTTCCTGAAGTATCGACTGGTTGGATCTTCTCGCAGTCCAAGGCACTCTCAGAATTTTCCTCCAACACCACAGTTCAAAAGCATCTCTCTTCCTTTGCTTAGCCTTCCTTATGGTCCAGCTCTTCAAGGTCAAGCCAGTCACTTCAAGGATACCATCCATCCATCTTGTCCTTGGTCGGCACCTCTTCCTTTTTTCTTCCATTTTTCCCAGCATCATCAACTTCTCCAAGCTTTCCTGTCTTTTACTTTGGCTTTCCTTTGTGGCCAAAGTACTTTATCTTTGCCTCTAATATTCTTTCCAGTGAGCAATCGGGCTTTATTTCCTAAGTATGGACTGGTTGGATCTTCTCTTGGTCCAAGGCACTCTCATAACTTTCCTCCAACACCACAGTTCAAAAGCATCTATCTTCCTTCGCTCAGCCTTCCCTATGGTCCAGCTCTCACATCCCTAGGAAACTATGGGGAATAGCATTGCTTTGACAATGCAGATCTTTGTTGCCAGTGTGATGTCTCTACTCTTCACTATTTTATTGAGATTGGTCATTGCTCTCCTCCTGAGAAGTAAGTGTCTTCTGATTTCCTGGTTGCAGTCTGCATCTGCAGTAATCTTTGCACCTAGAAATACAAAGTCTGTCACTGCCTCCATGTTTTCTTCCTCAATTTGCCAGTTATCAACCAGTCTTGTTGCCATAATCTTGGGTTTTTTATGTTTAACTGCAACCCATCTTTTGCACTTTCTTCTTTCAACTTGGTTAGAAGGCTCCTCAACTCCTCCTCGCTTTTGGCCATCAAAGTGGTATCATCTGCATATCTAAAGTTGTTAATGTTTCTTCCAGCAATTTTAACCCCAGCCTTGGATTTGTCAAGCCCCGCACATCGCATGATGTGTTCTGCATACAAGTTGAATAGGTTGGGTGAGAGTATACAACCCTGCCGTACGCCTTTCCCAATCTTGAACCAGTCTGTTGTTCCATGGTCAGCAAAAATTCAATGCCAACATATGGTACACAAAGAAATCATAATAACTAATTTCTACATATAACTGTGAACTTAAAATCAATTAAAAACCATTAAACATAAGGTAAAGGTAAAGGTTTTCCCCTGACATTAAGTTCAGTCGTGCCCGACTCTGGGGGTTAGTGCCCATCTCCGAAGAGCCGGCATTGTCCATAGACACCTCCAAGGTCATGTGGCTGGCATGACTGCATGAAGTGCTGTTACCTTCCCGCCAGAGCAGTACCTATTAATCTACTCACATATGCATGTTTTTGAACTGCTAGGTTGGCAGAAGCTGAGGCTGACAGCAGGAGCTCACGCCACTCCCCGGAATCGAACCTGCGACCTTTTGGTCAACAAGTTCAGCAGCTCAGTGCTTTAACTCACTGTGCCACCGGGGGTTCCATTAAACATAAGACATACATAAAATTTAAACATTCATACCAGCATGAAATCATCCTAGTATAAACATTAAAATCCCACAATCCAGAATCGTAGGGTCAGGACAGCTTCCTTGGATTTAGGTGAAAAGGAATAGTAGAGTACCCCAGCACCACCTTCTGAGTACAGCCCTCCAGGAAGGCCTAGAGCCACTGTAAGACAGAGCCTCCCATTCCCATCCCAGCGAGACGACTCGGAAAGATATTATGGTCAATTGTATTGAAAGCCATAGAGATGTCCAGGAGAACCAACAGTTCCCCTGTCTAGCTCTCTGCATAGGTCATCCACCAAGGTGATCAGAGCTGCCTCTGTTCCATAGTCAGGCCTGAAACCAGATTGAAATGGGTCTAAGTCAGTGCTTCCCAGCCTGTGGTCCATGCACCACCAGTGGTCCACAAGAATTAAAATATGGGTCGCAGCCTCACTGTTACTACACTGTTCCTGCCCAGCTTCTAAGAGTAGATGAGGTTCCAGATGGCATAGCGGTCCAACCATATCTGGAATAACAAACATTCTCAACCCCTATTGTAAAGTGTATAGATAGCAAATCCTCAGATCGGCACATTATTTACCAATGTTTATTATTTTCCAGGACTTTGTGTTTGGCTGTTGAGGAACTTGCAGCAATTGTTTAGACAGCAATTGTTTCTAGAGCCTGCTAGGTGGTCATAATGGTCCTGTTCACTGTTCCAATTAAAGTCTTGGAGTCACAGATACCTCATACTTGTCTAAAACTAAATTATTCATGTTCACTATTTTTGTAGCGTTTTTTCTTGGCCATGTAGTTTATTGAAAGGGAGCCTGGAATTTGCCTCCGAACTCTCTCCACCTAACTGGTGATTTGTACCATCAGTACCAATTTTTCAAAAGGGGGGTTATTAATTGAAAGCAGAATTCTACAGCAACGTGCTAAAACCTAGAGGCAGCTTGGATTACTTCCCAGATACACAGACTTGCATTCCAGTAAATCTATGTATAAATCACAGACACTACTTTGAGCAGAGCTGTCCAAGTTCAGACGTTTTTAGTGGTGAATACTGTATTAGAAAAGCACATGTTTGATTGGACACATAGCTTGAACCTGGATGGATTGCAATGTACATATTTGCTGAGTTTGGAAATGTTTTGCACTTTGACTACCAAAATCTCCATGTTTTGGTCATCTGACTAGGAATTCAGGGCATCGTTCCAAAAGAGACTGTGTATGTTTCTAAGCTCTGTGTTTTTCTGATGCACTAAATCTGAATGAATTACTCAAATGAGCAGAGGAACCTAAATTAACTTCATACTGATATTAGAAATGCAGCACATGTCTCCATCCTCGGGACAGATATCCTTCACCCATCCACCTAGACTAGGGGCCCTCAAACTATGGCCCAGGGGCCGAATACGGCCCTCCAAGGTCATTTACCCGGCCCTCACTCATGGTCAACCTAAGTCTGAAACGTCTTGAAAGCACACAACAACAACAATAATGACAATGACAACAATACCATCTCATCAGCCAAAAGCAGGCCCACACTTCCCATTGAAATACTAATAAGTTTATATTTGTTAAAATTGTTCTTCATTTTAATTATTGTATTGTTTTTAAGTGTTTTTGCACTACAAATAAGATGTGTGCAGTGTGCATAGGAATTTATTCATTTCTTTTCTTCAAATTATAATCCAGTCCTCCAACAGTATGAGGGACTGTGACCTGGCCCTCTGTTTAATAAGTTTGAGGACCCCTGACCTAGAAAATGAGTCTAGCCAATATAACAAGGCCAAGTACTCATTCATGGCTTGCAAATTGCAGCCTTCACACTTGGTTAATAGACATTGGTTCTTTGCCCCACCCTGGACACTCCATGGGTATATATATATATTGAGTATATACTCAATTTGCTTTACCACAATGAGATCCTCTAAATATGCCAGTCACAGATGCAGGCGAAATGTCAGGAGAAAATGCTGCTAGAACATAGCCATACAACCAGGAAACAACTCAACACTCCAGTGATTCTGGCCATGAAAGCCTTCAACAATACATACTCATTCATGGTTTGTCAGTCTAAGTTCTATTTCATTTGTCTGAAGCACACTAATCACTTAGGTTATTTACCTGTATTCTGTATTCTAGACAGTGATCGTTTGGGATTGTATAAAAAAATCACTTGACATCTCTCACCAGTCACCACTACTAAACATCTCCTGTCTTTTGTAATGCGATTCAGAGCCCCAAATATTTGCATCCTCTAGTCTGAGGATGCCTAATTCTTCAGACAAATTTCAGGCATCACTGAAGCATAGCCAATAATGGAGTTCGAAGCCCGCTCAAGGGTATGGTGTCCACAAAATGTATAGCCCCAATGCATGCTGCAGCGTGCATTAAGCCAGAAACAGCACATTAAAAAATCTCACTAGAAAGTTCAGAACAATCCAGATAATTCACTGCAGATGATTAGGGTATATCCCATGAAGGAATCAAATCTGAGGTGATCCCAAATGGAGATGAATATGCGTATCTCAGTGGACTGGTTAAGAAAAAAAACCCTACATTTTCCAGAGGTTATCTGGTAGTGGAGACTTGATTAAATCCACTTCCAAACTGGATTATAGTGTCTCTGTAGAACCGCCAATAGCTACATCATATGAGTAAAACACAGAGAAATCCTATGCACATTTATCTTGTAAGTCCTACTATAGCCATTGGGCATTATTCATGAATTACTAAATATTGTAAAATGTACCGAACAACATAAATTGTTTAGCATGCACCATAATTTATTTTAATTTCCAAGTTTAAATTTTCTGCATATAAAATATGGACATTTTCATAGCATAGAGTTCCCTGTTGGTTTTATCTCCTTCCACACACAAACCTGATCTCAGTCATATTATCCCTTGTGACAAGTCACCTGATTTCAGGAGTCAAAAATCGCCCTTCCCTGACTGGATACCCTCCAACTATGTCAGCAACTCCAATTATCTCCAGCCAGCATGAAACATATTGTCAGGGGATTATGGGAATTCGAATCCAATCTGTCTTGATGGTGCCAGATTAGTAGGGAAAGATAATAATTATCTACTGCCAAGAGAAAGCAGGCTAGGCAGTACCTTTTTATTGGTCCAATTTCCCTTGGCCAAATTGCATGTGCTTTTTAAGTTCACAAAAGGTCACAGTCCAGTCAAAGTTTGCCATTTCTCCCTCTGGCATTTGCAAAACCAGACTCCACTTTGCAAAAAAACAACAAAAACAATGTGAATGGAAGAATCCAATATGGAAATTGCCAATGCAAATTATTCCAAAGATTCAAACCAAAGGGGGTCCCCTGCTTTGGATAAAAAGTGGAGTGATAATTATAGATGAGAAAAGAGCCTGGTCAGCAGCTGCTGCTTGCGTTTGTTCCCTGTTGCAACTGACAGCACTGGAGAACTTGGCAAAAACAGGCTTCCAGAAGTGGAAAGACACGTTAGCCCCTGTGCTTGTCAGTCCAGTCCGATGAGGGCTCCAGCGAGCAATGAAAGCTACAGTCTGCCAGGTGCTGAAAGGGAAGAAGCAAACAAAGTGACCTGAGCGTGCTCTCACTCAGGGAACACAGAATAAAGGGCCCAAGTCATCATTCCTGTGCTATAGGTGGCCTATGCAGCACAATTGCAGGTGAGTGGCTCTGCAAAGATTATAGGATCTTGCTGTCTTTGTACTGTATCTCCCAGTAATTGAGGAAAATGCTGTTAAAATTATCAGTGTTTGACCACAAAGTTGTATTGATGGATATCTATTCTGTTTGGATTTATCTGTGCTTAGGTATCACAGCCTTTCAATTCCTTGCATTACTAAGGCACTCAGCAATATGTTTAGTACCCACATCACATAACCCCCATATTTGTGGGACTGATATCTTTGGTTTCATTTATCCCCTTTTGGCAAAATATGTCCTCTCCAAATGTATTCAAGGTTTTCCAGCGCAACTTGATGGTATTCTTGAGCTAGAAGTCCTTCATTTTTATTGGGTTCATTATTATCAACGTATCAATGTATCCATGCAAAGTCTGTGAATGTATCTCCCATGGATACAAATCATACTGTATTGGACTAACTGGACTTTTTTACCTTGAAAGATTGGTTATAAATGCATAAAGCCAATATCAATCATGACTAGGTATGGAAGTTCTCTTCTACTCACAAATCTCAATGGCACCATCAGAGTAGAGCGATTGTGACATGTTGGTTTCAATGTTAGTTTAGGACTCTGGAAGACCAGGATTAAAATTTCTGCTCACTCCTAGAATCCCACTATGTGATCTTGAGCAAGTCGCAATCTCTCAGCCCTATCAGCAAAATCCCTATTCCAGAGCAAGAGGGTCCTGCAGTGTAACAGGACTGGATTATTGTGGAGTGAACTATGGGTTGAATATCCCATATGAAATGCTTGAGAACAGATGTGTTCTAGATTTGAGTTTTCTGTATGATTTTTGAATACAGTTAAGTCTCGCTTATTGACATAAGTGGCCAGCAGAACGTTGGATTAACGAAAATGTTGGATAATACGGAGTCTACTACTGTTACCCTTCTGACGCGGTGCTAGACACCTAAAATACTAACAACAGGGTCTCAAAGGGTTAAGGAAAGGCAATGCCTCAGAACTAGAGTGGCCCAGCAGGTAGTGCCTGGTTGCGGAAGAGAAGCATGAAATCATAAAGTGAAGGAGGGAGGACGCTTCTTCTTCCGGTCCTGCCTCATCCCCCTTTTCTCCCTCCTCTTCCTCCTTGTCTTGCCTTTCTCACTTATTGGGAATGGAGAGAGAATTGGGAAGCGCTCCTTTAAGTGAAGGGGAAATGCTGGAGAAAAGGGGGTAGTTGAATAAGAGTGTCGGATAAGACGGAATGTCGGATAAGCGAAGGTTGGATAAGCGAGACTCTACTATATCTATAGTTGCAAATATGTAACAATAAAATATGTTGGAGATGGGGCCCAGGTCTAAACCCAAAATTAATTTATGCTTCATATACACCTTAAACACGTGGCCTGAAGGTGATTTTATGCAACATTTTAAATATTTTTGTGCATGAAGCAAAATTTATGTAATTTGAATAATCAGAACTATTTCAGCCACCCATGTGGATCATTTGCGAATTTGGAGGATTTTGAATTTTGTACTTGCATATAAGGAATGGGCATAATACAGACAGAGGTTTTTTTTAAAAAAATACCAATGATCATCACCAATTATTTGCAACCAACTTTCAGAAATATTGTATGGCCATTTCATCTGACCTGAATGTTTATTTTTGTGTGGCCCCAGGAAATGAATGGGAGGTTCTTTATACAAATCTAACTTTATAATGTAGTTCAAAACCCATTGTAGCTTTGAATCAGAAACAGAATAAATAAGCAGTCCAGTTCTAAAGTTTTTGGAGCCCAAAATACGATTTTGCTACTCCTTCTATGTGGCTAGAGATGCAACAAACTTCAGTGGGACATATGTATCAATAACAAAGCAAGATTAAAGAAGCAATGCTGAAATTCATAGTTATTTGGTGGCTTCCTTCCACCAGTCAGTGAGAACTGCCTTTCAAAATAAAGCTAATGATTTTTCTAACACTGGATCTCAAATAGCTTAATGAATGTTCTGAAAATCTTGTAGTCAAGGGATTCACTAATAGAACTTTTACCTTAGTTTGGAAATGCTTGACTTTCCCCCTGAGTATTCTTCCCAGCCAGTGATGGAAAGTCACTTTCTGAACATGGTAAAATACAACATGAGTTCAGAAGGTGAAGGATTTAACTTTTTTTCTGAGTGCATTGAAGCTGCACTGCTAATAGCTTGTTAGATTGCCTTTACTGGCAATTGAGTAAGGCAATAAGTGTTCTGTCTATCAGCAGGAATGCTACACAAGTGTTGAATCTGCTATCTGTTGCAAAATTCATCATCAACTTCACATTTCTATCCCCTCCAGCTCTGGCTAGCATCTTGGGAAAATGTCAGTTATGCTCTCTGAAATTATAGCAGCTGCTGAGGTTGTAAATGCTGTAATGGCTTTGATAAGACTGTTCCTAATGGAAATTATAATTGTTTATGCTTAAGCCATTATTCTACATAAGATATTGTTGATTTTTGTTTTGTTTGGGCATTTCCACTTTTCCAGAAACAAGCAGCAGAGATGACAGTTACATACTCCAGCAGAGTTGCAAATGCCACTTTCTTTGGGTTCCACAGACTGCTTCTCAAATGGAAAGGAAGCATCTACAAACTGCTTTACAGAGAATTTCTTCTCTTTGCTAGCCTTTACACTGCAATCAGTGTGTTGTACAGGTACATACATATTTTTCACTTTTGGATAAACAATCTGTATAGTGTTCACTGTAGTCTTTCCTTGCATAATTCTTTGGGAGCTGCTACAAAATAGCTAGGATGCTAACTAGTCTGGGGACTCCACGGAGTTCTTTCTTCCACTCCAACTTTGTTTATGTTTCCTTCAAACAAACACATGTTTCTAAGACTGTTGAGCAAGTTCAAACACTGGGGAAAAATTGTTTTCCTAACAATTTGCTGTAGTTTTGAAAAAATCGCATTTCTCCAAGGCAGTCTATACCTCCCACTTCTGTGTCAATGTTCTGTTTCGTCTACATAAGGCTTTATACTCAGATAATTTACATGTTTAGATAGGACACAATATGAGGACATAGGACTAGCCATGCTGGGTCAAACCAAAACTCCACCACCTCCAGTAGCTAACCAGTTTCTTATAAGAAGCCCACCAGGAAATGCATCTCCATCTTATGCTCCCCATAAACCAATATAGAGCTTCTATACTTTTGATTCTGAAGAAGACAAATAGTAGCCATTGAGACCATTTTGGTCTGAGAAGTATAATTAGACATCTCCATCCATGGAATCTGTATTGACAGATTCAGTCATGCACAGCTTGCAGTTATATGTATATATAATATTCCCAAATGCAAACACTGATTTTGCTATTTTATGTAAGGGTCAATATTTTATTGTGGTATTGTGTAAGAGGACTTGGGCATCCAAGAAGTTTGATATCCACAGGGGGGTCCTGGGACCAAACTATGGTGGATTCCAAGAGCCTACCACAATTAGTGATGGTCCTAATCTCTGTATTTATCCAATTCCCTGTTTGAAGCTATCCATATTGGGAGGCATCAGTGCAATATGTGACAGCAAATTCCACAGGTTATACACTATTTGAAGAAGCATTGTCTTGAATTTCTCTCCCATTCAGCTTCAATAGATGATTTCAGATCCTATTATCATAAAACAAGAGGAAAGTTAATCCTATTTCTTCATATCATGCAGAATTTCAGACACCTCTGTCATGTCTCTCCTTACTTCTTCACAAAGAATGTCGCCTTCAAACTTCAAACATGTTAATGGGAGCTATGCATCATTGTTAGTCCTTCGCATTTTGTTTCATTTCAGTCAACAAGTCCAACCCACTGTGCCACCAGGGTTAAACTGCTGTGTTATTATGTAATAACTACTTAATTAAAACGTAATAGTAGAGACCAACAAAAAAGAGCACCATATTTTCCTGTGGGGAAAAAATGGCAACTGTGAATTATGCTAGTGGTTATATCAGCAGCTTTTCCCATTACCCTTTTGATGTTATCAAGCTGTAATTGTACATTCTGTAGTTCCAGAGATGGGAAGTTATGACAGTTCTACTTAGCTTCAAATTGTACATGAAATTCACTTCCCACTGGTGAGGTCCTTCATTTCAATAGATGTGCTATTATCCACAGTATCACATATCCATGCAAGTCCAGGAGCATATCCCCTGCAGATAGAGGTGGCTGTACTATATAGTTGTAGTGTATATGTGCTAATATACAGGAGTTGAGCATGTTATCCAAAGGGAGTCCCAAAAATACAGGCAGCTATTTCTGGATCAAAAGCTATGGCGTTCATTGATGCAGCAGATCTGCTATCATTGAAATTTAGGCCAGAGGTGTCTGAGATGGTCAATGAATTGTACAAGTGTCCCTGCTAATAAAAATTCCAGTACACTCATCTAATGTGGCCGAGGAGGCACAACGGGTTAAACTGTTGAGCTGCTGAACTTGCTGACCGGAAGGTTGGCGGTTTGAATCCAGTAAGCAGGTGAGCTCTCACTGTTAGCCCCAGCTTTTGCCAACCTAGCAATTTGAAAACATGCAAATGTGAGTAGATCAGTAGGTACTGCTTCTGTGGAAAGGTAAACGGCGTTCCATGCAGTCATGCTGGCCATGTGACCGAGAGGTGTCTATGAACAATGCAGGCTCTTCAGCTTAGAAATTGAGATGGTACCACCCCACAGAGCCGGAGATGAAAAGGGAAGCCTTTACCTTTATCTGTGTGTCTGTGTTTCATTGTTTCAAGGCATTGAATGTTTGCCTTGCGTCTCTGTATATGCTGGAATCCGCCCTGAGTCCCCTTGGGGAGATAGGGTGGAATACAAATAGTTGTTGTTGTTGTTGTTGTTGTTGTTGTTGTTGTTATGCGACTTGTGGCTACATTACATAATTTAAAGTATTAAGTACTGCCTTTCTAATGCATGCTGCTAATGCAAGTTATTGGTAGCTTTTGCCACATTTGCAAAACGATCTTATGTGGTTCCTCATGTTCTAACATGTCGAATATTTCTGCTTAATCAAATTGTGTCTTTAATGCTTGTTATCGTTATGAAAAGTTAGTCTTAATAATACTTCCTTTTCTTTCTTGCAGATTTTTCCTTACAGGAAGCCAAAAACGTTACTTTGAAAAACTGTCAATTTACTGTGACAAATATGCGGAGCAGATCCCAGTGACATTTGTGCTGGGTAAGCATATAGTACATGATGGTTGGACATGTCATATGCCCTCCCTTTTAGGATCTCGCAGCATCATGGAAATAGAAAGAACGCTCAGAAATATGAGTTTAGTGTCCGTTCTTGTTGAAAACAAGGAAAGTAGATAGTTCAGTGGGGCAGTGAATTTATTCCTGTTTTAGTCTGAACTTTAAAGGAGCATCTTAAGGACAGAGTTCAGCATCTACATTGCATCTATGTTGTAGAATTAATGCAGTTTGACACCACTTTAGCTGCAATAGCTCAATGCTATGGAATCATGGGAGTTGTAGACTGGAAAGGTACCAACACTCTTTGAAAGAGAAGACTAAAGGCCTTTTAAAACTAGTTTCCATGATTCCACAACATTTTTCCAGTCTTGGTCAAAGGTTGGAAAATAACCATAATGGCTTGGAAATTTGAGGAGTTGTACTTCAAAAAACATCCTCTAGTTCTGTTGTTGGTATGATTCTATAGATTGCATATGTTTACGTTTCCTAAATTCTGTCATAATAGTATCAACAGAGAGATACTTACTCCAACACTAACATGTTAAACTGCCAAATGCAAAAAGCTTGGAGAAACCTTGGAGTAGATTTTTGTGTATGGGCTCTGAGCTCAGGTCTCATACTGAAGAACAGCCTTTAATTTTGTGTTGTCAAAGGCTTTCATGACCGGAATCACTGGATTGATGTAAGTTTTCCACTCAGAAACAGGAGAACTCCAGACAGCAAACAATCAAGTGCCAGTTAACACTTCTCAAACAGGATACCTCCAGGCAACTGAGGCCAGGCTACCTCTATGCAGATACCCTCACTGATTGACTCAATGCTATTCAAGCTTGCTAACTACCACATTCACATTTGCTTTAAACAGATGAGGGTTCTTCTCCCATCCTGTACATTCCAGAGATATATATACACTCAACTTGCTTCACTGCCATCAGAACATCTGAAGATGCCAGCCACAGATGCAGGATTTTTTTTCCATGTCAGGAGCGACTTGAGAAACTGCAAGCTGCTTCTGGTATGAGAGAATTGGCAATCTGCAAGGATGTTGCCCAGGGGATTCCTGGATGTTTTACCATCCTGCGGGAGGCTTCTCTCATGTCCCTGCATGAGAAGCTAGAGCTGACAGATGGGAGCTCACCCTGCTCCCTGGATTCAAACCCCCAACCTTTTGGTCAGCAGTCCTACCGGCACAAGGGTTTAACCCATAAGTGCCACCGGAGCACCCGGTGAAATGTCAGAGATGCATGTGAAATGTCAGGAGAGAAAATGCTGCTGGAACATGGCCATAGAGCCTGGAAAACTCACATCAAGCCAGTCTTTAATTTTGTATATGCATTCACTCACTTCTCTCCAGTATCTGAAGAAACTATTTTCTTGCAGATAGCAAACTATAGGCTTGGAAGGAAAGAATATCCCACAAGCTTAAAAATCCCCTGTTTTTTGGACCAGGTGCTAGGCAGAATGATGTAGCAAACATATGTTCCAAAAACTCATATGCCAAGATATCATAAATGCATGGCTGCTGGGGCATTTGTAGGACAGTATCACATTGCTTAGTGTATCCCTTTTCACATCTGCCAATTCTTCAGTAAATATGCCTTGCTGAGATCATTTTCCATGTGCTGCCCTATCTCAGGCCCAGGCTGGATGGAAAAACTGGGAAAGGGATTTTTGGACAGAAAATAGATAAGGCAGGCAAAATGTTAAGTCCACTTGCCCTGGGCACACATACTATTTGTCCTTGCTTCTATTACATCCAGTGGTTGGGTAACACTGAAGTGATTGTGTGTCTTGAGACAGGAGAGCAGGAGAATCCCATGTGCTATTTCAGTCCATGCTAAACTATTAGTTTGCAACAACTTTCATATCCAACAAAAACAAAACTTTTATAAATGGGCCTGATGTACCCTTTCAAAACCAAGCTAGATTTACAACCACACAAATGTTGGTTTACCTTTGTACTATAATAATCACAAATGTATCCTTAAAACTATCTTTAAAACCATGAAGCTGCATCAACCAAAATAATTGTGTGGGTCCTATTGCCATATACTGTCAGGAAGAGACGTCAGCACCACACTTGCCAATGGGGCAGAATTCCAGACCCATCCATACTGCTATATAAAATCCAGATTATTTGCTTCAAACTGAATTGTAAACTCATATAATTCAGTTCAAACAGATAATCTGAATTATCTGCTTTGATAGTCTGGATTGTTTGGTAGTGTAGATCCAGCCTCCTTCATGTAGCTGTGTGGCTTTTAAGGTGAGTTTTGGAGTGTCAGATTGGGGTACGGATTGAAGCTACATCTCCCATGCAGGATCCTGGGTTTTGTTTCAAATTCACTACTTCTGGGTGTTTTACAATACTGTATTTCATTGCATAATAGTCACATCCCCATTTCGGAAAGGGGCTGAAATTATTATGGGATGGTAACTATTTTGCAGTGAAAAGGACCCATTTTAGGGTCCTCTTTCACCGCCCAACAGTCAATATGAAGGTTTGCATGGCTGCACCTTCCCCAAAACAGGGACACACCTATTCTGAGGTTGCAGCTATGCTGTGATGACATACAGTACTTGGATGCTGGGACACTTTAAAAAAATATATCTCTGATAATGTTATACTTCACTCTGAATGGGATGGAAATGCCATGAGCCAATCATTCTGACACAGATGCTGTAACTGTAAAGGAAAGAAGTTCAGCATTCCTGGATGGAGCCATAAAAAATAAGAACACAGATATTTTCCATATTGTCAGCTTGGCATTGTAGTGCACAACTTGGAACACAAGACACTTTCCCCGATATGCAGACGGACTGTGCAGACTGTGATGATTGCCAACTTGGATGGCTTTGAAGGAGGATTTGACAAAGTCACGAGGGATAAAGCCTTCCATGACTACTCATTGTGATAGTTATATATTACTTTCAGCATCAGAGGCAATATGTCATTTGTTGTGGAATACAATGGGGAGAGTGTAGTTGTACTCCCATTCTACTTGTAGGTTTCTCATAGGTATCTAATTGGGCCATGGGAATCAGAATAGTAAACTAGATAGCCCTTCCAAAAAGGCTGTTCTAGTGTTCTTCTTACTACTTATATTTTGCTATAATCCCCAGTCATAGAGAACCATAAGAAATTACTGACATGGCTAAACCTTACCTTTTCCCCAGAGCAAGAACTGGTTACGATAAAACAACAAACAATTCCTTAGATTAGATTTGGGCACATTTCCAGTTATATTTGTTTGTGATCATGTATCAAAAGTGCATCTGGATTTGCACTCCACACCAGGGAGCTAATCTCTCCAGTCCATTCTCCCACTAGAAGAGTGCTTTTTTCCTACTAGGAACCTCATCACATTCAGTCTTCTCTCTGTTTCTCTGAGCTGCTGAAACAAGAGTCCAATGGAGGCTATCACATGATGAAAGGCTACTTCTGTTGGTTACTCATGGGACTCTATTGCGGTAGTGCAGAGAAATGGAGGGGAGACTGTATTTTCAGGAGCTGGATGCCACCTGACTCCTAACGACAGATGGAGAGAATCTGGATAGAAGTGGAGAAAGGCAGGGAAAGGACGTGGGATGGCTTTCCTAAAGATGGAAAGGCATGGGACCTTGTTGGTAGCGAATGAAAGAAGATAGTTTGCTCTGCTTTTCCCCGCTTTTCTTTGCTTTCCCCACTTTCATGTGATGAGGTCCTAGGAAAACAGCAGGACAATAGTACCTTTCATATTTTTGAAGTGAAAAATCATACCTACAAACCGCCACCTGATCACCCAAAGGTGCCATGATTTGAAATGAGACTTTTGGACCAGAAACACTAGCAAAACAGCAGATGGTAATGAGATCATTATTAGATTATTTTAGGAAGGAGAAAAAAGTGCCTTTGCAGCAGGCTTCTTAGGGGAACAGTGGGAAAAGAATGACATTGTGAGATAATGCTAAACTGTAAACTATATTGCCCTATGTGTTGTTGAAGGCTTTTATGACTGCAATCACTGGGTTGCTGTGAGTTTTCCGGGCTGTATGGCCATGTCCCAGAAGCATTCTCTCCTGACGTTTCATCCACATCTATGGCAGGCATCCTAAGAGGTTGTGAGATCTGTTGGAAACTAGGCAAGTGATGTCTATACCACAATGCCCTAGTGCCATTATGGTATAACCTTATGTGATAAGCTCCTAGATGTCTGGTCTAGCCATGGTGATGCATACCTTGCTTATATTCTGTTTGGATGAATGCATCATATGCTACATTGAACTGCATTTGAAGAGTGTTTGGAAATGTTAATTGATCTAAAGAGCTGCAGCCAGATTGTTCACTGGGCTGATTACAGAGAGCATACAAGTCCTTGCTACAACAGGTCCATCAGCTACCAATCCAAATGGCTTAGGTTCAGCCTATGCACCACATTGTAACTCCCCATATGAGATTATCCAGGCCCCTAGATCCTCAAGAAATGCCCTTCTTCAGGGCACATCTACTGGGAACATGAAACAGAGCCTTCTCAGAGGCAGCTCCAAGTTCTGAAACTCCTTTCTCTGCTTCCATTAGCAAGGAAAGGTGTGTTTTTATTCCAACAAGTTTTTGAAACCTTTTTTTATAGTTTAACTCTATTTTTATGTTGACCTTTTGTATGTATCTGCTGTATTATGTACTTTTAAAATTAGTTAATTTTGGGTTTATTTATTTATTGTGTCAGAAGCGAATTGAGGATACAGTTATAATGTGTTTGAAAACACAAACAAAGTTAAAAACGTGGCTTTATACTAAATGTCTTTTGACCAGAATCTGACCAGTTGCAGTGCCTCTGGTGTCGCTGTGAGAAGGTCCTCCATTGTGCACATGGTAGGGCTCAGGTGACATTGTAGTAAGTGGTCTGTGGTTTGCTCTTTTCCGCACTCACATGTAGTGGACTCACTCACATGTAGTAGAGCCCCATTTCTTAAGGTTAGCTCTGCATCTCATGGTGCCAGAGAGCAGCCTGTTCAGTGCCTTCCAAGTCGCCCAGTCTTCTGTGAGCCCAAGGGGAGTCTCTCATCTGGTATCTGCCATTGATTGAGATTCCAGGTTTTAGTCTGCCACTTTGGGGTTCTCGCTTGCTGAGGTGTTCCTGTGAGTATCTCTGTAGACCTTAGAAAGCTATTTCTTGATTTAAGGCATTGTCTCGCTGGCTGATATCTGAACAGAAGATGGGCCGGGGATGTCACTGCCTTTGTCTTTTCATTGCTGGCCGCTACTTCCCGATGGATGTCAAGTGGTCCAATACCACCTAAACAGTATAATTTCTCCAGTGGTATTGGGCATAGACATCCTGTGATAATGCAGCATGTCTCATTAAGAGCCACATCCACTGTTTTATTGAGGTTAGATGTTATTTTTGGAGAAAAGCTGGGATATTGGTAATGGTGATGATGATGATGATGATGATGATGATGATGATGATGATGATGATGCATTCATAGTAGGAGGATGAAGACAGTTAAAGTGTTAACATTAATATGTCCATATTTTCATGTTTCTCCTTTAAACAATCCAATTCAGGACATTTGGCTTCATAACAGAGCTACAAGCAATGCAGACACATTAACTGTATTGTAAATTTAAAAATTATTAGGCAGATTAGCTGAAGATCAAAATGTCTGTCGTACATTAAGCAAAATGTGAATCAATCTTTTTCTAAATCTGCAGGGTTCTACGTTACTTTGGTGGTGAACCGTTGGTGGAACCAATTTGTCAACCTTCCATGGCCAGATAGAATTATGTTCTTGATCTCCAGTACTGTCCAGGGAAGAGATGAATATGGTCGCTTGCTGAGGAGAACACTAATGCGCTATGTGAATTTAACATCCGTCCTCATCTTTCGTTCGGTGAGCACAGCCGTCTATAAAAGGTTTCCAACCATGGACCATGTGGTAGAAGGAGGTATTGTCTGTTTCCATTCTTCTCCATCTCTGCCCCAAACTCCTTAGTGGAAAAGGGTATCCAGAAACTAGGAAAACTGTCATCCCAAATGAAATAAGTAGGAAAGCAGCTGGCATTGGAGTAAATTTTGATTGGGGAAATGACTTTTGATAAAAGGGTTATGTATCTTTCCTTGCTGCTGCTTGAATTGAATTCACAGTTTCACAACATTTAGATATTTTTAAAAATTGGAAGACTGTTTCTTTTATCCCACAGTGTTTGGTCCTTAGTTGGGACTAACTTGTTAGTAGCTTTCAGTGAGACTAGCGTGTCTATGCATATGTAAGTCCCGTTATGTTCAATGGGAGTTCCTCCCAGGTAAGTTTATATATGATTGTGAAAATAAGTGCTACTGACTTCTTCCGGATCAAGGTTATTAAATATGTTAAATATGCTTTTTGAGGGTTGGAACAATTTGATTCTTTCATGTCTGCCCAGCAAAACTTTAATAAAAAGTTGACTGAGAGGAGATATGATAGCCATGCATAAGTACATGAGAGGGAGTCATTGGGAGGAGGGAGCAAGCTTGTTTTCTGCTGCCCTGGAGACTAGGATGCAGAACAATGGCTTCAAACTATAAGAAAGGAGATTCCTCCTGAACATTATGAAAAACTTCCTAACTGTGAGAGCTGTTCAGCAGTGGAACTCTCTGCCCTGGAGTGTGGTGGAGGCTTCTTCTTTGGAGGCTTTTAAGCAGAGGCTGGATGGCCATCTGTCAGGGGTGCTTTGAATACAATTTTCCTGCTTCTTGGCAGGGAGTTGGACTGGATGGCCCATGAGGTCTCTTCCAACTCTATGATTCTATGATTCTATTAAAAAGCATCAGTGACTTACTGCTATGAAGTCATTGATTCTAAATGGCATGTGTTCCATGTGAATTGCTATGACATGAATACAAAGCAAACTAGTCAAATGTGGGCTAGGCAATACTACTCTTAGGTGAATGTGTAATTGGTTAAGCGACTGAACCCAAAGGGTGCTCACCAATGGTTCCTTTTCATCCTGGAAAGAAGTGACTAGTGGAGTGCTCCAGGATTCAGTCCTGGGCCCTGTACTGTTCAACATCTTTATTAATGACTTGGATGAAGGTTTAGAGGGCATACTTATCAAGTTTGCAGATGACACCAAATTAGGAGGGATAGCTGATAGTCGAAACGATAGCATTGGAATTCAAAATGACTGTAACAGATTAGAGAGCTGGGCCAAAACTAACCAAATAAATTTCAACAAGGACAAATGTAAGATACTACACTTAGGCAGAAAAAAATGAAATGCAAATATATAGCATATGTGATGCCTGACTTGACAGCAGTCCATGTGAGAAAGATCTTGGAGTCTTCATAGACAACAAGTTGAACATGAGCCAACTGTGTGATGCAGCAGCTAAAGAAACCAATGGCGTATAGTGTCTAGATCGAGGGAAGTCATGGTACCTCTCTAGTCTGCTTTGGGCAGACCATACCTGGAATACTGTGTCAATTTCTGGGCTCCACAATTCAAAAGGGATAGAGACAAGCTCAAAGGTGTCCAGAAGAGGGCGACTAAAATGAACAAAGGTCTTGAGACCATGCCTGCAGAAGAGAAGGTTGAGAAGGAGACAGGATAGCCATGTATAAATATGTGAAAGGGTGTCATAAGGAAGACGGAGCCAGCTTGTTTTCTGCTGTTCTTGAAATTAGGACTTCAAGAAAAGAGATTCCACCTGAACACGAGGAAGAACTTATTGACCGTACAAGCTGTTCAACAGTGGAACTCTCTGCCTCGGAGTGTGGTGGAAGTTCTTCATGGGAAACTTTTAAACAGAGGCTGGATGGCCATCTGTCAGGGATACTTTGTGCTTTTCCTGCATGGCAGGGGGTTGGACTAGATGACCCATGTGGTCTCTTTCAACTCTTTATTTTTCTATGTTGCTATGATGCAATGCAGTAAGCAGCTTTTCCCAAAATAGAAGATTCAAAAGTCTGTGTTGGCTGCAGCAGTAAGAAACTGTAGCCAAAAATAATATTGAGGGAATGCTTTTAAGAAAAACATATAGGTAATATATATTGTATGATAAGACTGATAAGGAAAAGAAGCAATAGCTCCCCATGTGTGTGTCAGTGCTTAAAAAGAAATGCTTACAGATTCATTGATGAGTGGTCACTTTTTATTTATAATGCATTAATTTTTCAGTATGGTACCAAAGTCTGGAAGGGCGACTGGGGAGGGGAACAGATAAAACAGCTACAAGAACTGGAACCAGCTTAGATTCACACTTATGTTTATGTATGTCTAGCTATCTGGATGGGTGTACAGTGCAAATTTATTTAACCTGCTGCCCCGGTGGTGCAGCGGGTTAAAGCGCTGAGCTGCTGAGCTTGTTGACCGAAAGGTTGCAGGTTCAAATCCAGGGAGCGGCATGAGCTTCTGCTGTTAGCCCCAGCTACTGCCAACCTGGCAGTTCAAAAACATGCAAATGTGAGTAGATCAATAGGTACTGCTCCGGCAGGAAGGTAACGGTGCTCCATGCAGTTATGCCAGCCACATGACCTTGGAGGTATCTACAATGCCGGCTCTTCAGCTTAGAAATGGAGATGAGCACCACACCCCAGAATCGGACACATTTGGACTCAGGAGAAAAACTTTACCTTTACCTTTACCTTTACCTTTACCTTTACCTTATGTGCACCAGAGCACATTAAACTGTAGCTTTAAACACTACCAGGAAAACAACTTATTTTCATTAGAAAAAACTATGTGTTGTTAAAGGCTTTTATGGCCAGAATCATTGGGTTGTTGTGTGTTTTCTGGGCTATATGGCTATGTTCCAAAAGCATTATCTCTTGATGTTTCACCTACAACTATGGCAGGCAAAACGTCAGGAGAGAATGCTTCTGGAACATGGACATACAGCCCAGAAAAAACTATGTTTTATTATGACTTATTGCAATGTTTGCACATTGCATATTGCATTATTAATTGTGTTACTCTTGGCTTTTCATTACTGTAAAAAAAACTAGAAACAACAAGAGAATGGCATGAAACTTTTATCAAATCCTATCAAATGCTTTTAAAAGTAATTAGAAAAATTACTAGATAGTCTCTCTTAAAAGAGGAACTGCCATTCTCATTCATTACAAAAGTAACTAATTAGATATAACTACTTTGCTTGTAGTTTGGTGATTTCCAGGCTTTTGTAGACACAAAATAGAAAAAGATGATCGGTTCCATTCATGTTCTTGAATGAAGCTTAGTGAGATCCTGCTTTAGATCATGTTCTCTCTGAAGAAATCGGACATCCAAAGCCAGCTGTGTTTCTTTATGAACAGGTTTTATGACACAAGAGGAAAGGAGAGTATTTGATGAACTTAAGTCTCCTCACCTGAAATACTGGATCCCCTTTGTCTGGTTTGGAAATTTGGCAGCAAAAGCACGACAAGATGGAAGGATTAGAGACAGTGTAGACTTACAGACACTGATGAATGTAAGTAAACAAACACAGCAGAAAATTAGGATGTGCTTCTTAAATTTGTGAGTTCAATATAGACCATATCCCTGCCAGCTTCTTACATCTTCCCTGAATTTTGTGCTGTGCTTCAGTATTCTTGTAACTTCCAAGGCTTGTCACTAGGGACTTCATCCCACGCAGTCCTCACTTCATTTCTCTACGCTGCTGAAACGGAGTCCCAAGGAAGCCATCACATGGTGTAAAGCCACTTCCGTTGGTTGCCCGTAAGACACCGTTGTGGCAAGGGAGTGAAGACTGTGTGTTCTGGAGTTGGATGCTACCTGACTCCCAACACCAAAAGATGCAGAAGATGGAGAGAAACTGGGCAAAGGATGTGAGATGGCTGCCATCCCTGAATACAAAAGGCACTGAACCTCGACATTAGGGAATTAAAGAAGACTGTTTGCTCAACTTTTCCCCATGCCCTCCTTCCCCCATGGGATAAGGTTCTAGATCGCATAACATGCTTAATTAAATACCTAGAAGATGTGAGTGCCTACAGATATATTTTGTTCATTACATGTACCTTGTGCATATAGATTGCAGGGACACAAGGCAACATGTGCTGGCTGTTAGAAATTGTGGCAGTTGAAGTCCAAAACACCTGGAGGGCCAAAGTTTGCCCATGCTTGCTTTATCTCATTTCAAGGATCTCCTACACTCCACCTCAACCAGTCCATGTTTGCTACTTGTGGTCTGGAGTTGGAATGACTGATATGGGAAGCCTAGCTTCTCACTGCCTAGACTTGAAACTTTGAAGGTAAAGTAGAAATTTGATTTAATTAAGTCAATATAGAAAATATATAACCACTGGTGGCACAGTGGGTTAAACCGCTGAGCTGCTGAACTTACTGACCAAAAGGTCGGTGGTTCAAATCCGGGAAGTGGAATGAGCACCCGCGGTTAGCTTCTGCCAACCTAGCACTTTGAAAACAAGCAAATGTGAGCAGATCAATAGGTATCGCTTTGGTGGGAAGGTGACTCCGCTCCATGCAGTCATGCTGGCCACATGACCTTGGAGGTGTCTACAGACAACTCCAGCTCTTTGGCTCATAAATGGAGATAAGCACCACCCCCAAGCGTTGGACACAACTAGACTTAATGTCAAGGGGAAACCTTTACCTTATGTAGAAAATATAGAATAAGTCATAAAATTTACATTATTTTGTCTTATGGACCTACTTTTTAGGATTCATTAACAAAATAAACATTGTTTCAACCGTCCTTTCCCCCCTAACCCCCCACTTTTTTTCTTTTTTCTTCTTTTTTTCTTTTTTTTGCTATGGGCCTGTTTGCATGCCCTCTAAATTGGTGACAGGAAATTATACAATGTCTTCCATGAGTATATGACAGACATATTTTAAAGTTTTTTGAACAGAGAAGATGCATGTCTTAGAGGCACCAACTCCAAAGGTCTGCAAAATCTACGCACACATAAACAGTCAATTGCCTAAACGGTCAGTCAATAGCTTAGTCCGAATTTTGAAGTTGCTGATCAGCTAATGCAGCCATTGATTTATAAGCTGCCTTTCATGCCTATGGAGAAAGGCAGTGTATAAATTAAACAAACAACAGTCAGAAAATCTATCATATCCCTACAGGCAAAGTCTCACTGTGCCAATAGCTGCAAAATGTTGCTGTTGTTTTACATGACATATTTTCTTTGTTTTGTGCTTCCTGTTTAGGAGATGAATCGGTATCGATCATGGTGCAGCTTGCTCTTTGGTTATGACTGGGTTGGAATTCCACTAGTATACACACAGGTACGTTTATCACATATGACATGCATTTGGGGATGGAGGACTTTAAACTTTAATGCATGATCAGTCATTGATAGGTTTGTATTTCCTTCCATTATAGTTTCATAAATTTTCCATATGTGAATTCTCCAGTGATTCCTTCCAGAATGTAGCTCATCATCATATACAGGCAAAATGTCCATGTTGCTAGGACTATAGGAAATGTAGCCTAGCTCATCTGAGACTCAGTAGGCTGGCAAAGACTGATTCACAACAACATTAATTACATTTTCCTTGTTAACAGTATAGCATTAATATACTAATTAAGAGCAGTAGTTCGCAACATTTGGCCCTCCAGATATTTTGGACCTCATCTCCCAAAATCTCTGGGTATGCTAACCCAAGTCTCTGGGACTCAGATCCCAAATATCTGGAAGGCCAAACGTAGAGATTCACTGAAGCAAAATATTCCAAAGGTAATCCTAAAGTATTAATGGTACTGACATTATAGTATTCTTAAGATTATAAAATAAAATAACAGGATCAATACTGTTACTCTTAATGCCATTTTAACTCATTTTAGGTTGTCACTCTTGCTGTCTATACTTTCTTCTTCACATGCCTGATAGGACGTCAGTTTTTGGACCCTGACCAAAACTATCAAGGTCATGATTTGGATCTTTACGTTCCTATCTTCACATTGCTACAGTTTTTCTTCTATGCGGGATGGCTTAAGGTAAACTGCCTGGCAATTTTAAATGAGTTCTGAATTTCCTTGGAATTTTATCCAAACTTGGTGACTAAGATTCTTCTAAGTCAATGAAAGTAAAGGGATCCTTTAGTCAAAGCTGTGCAGCATTTGTTATGATGTTGCACAAACCATTAGTTTACTCCAAATATCTCACTATGCGCATTTAAAGAAAAACTTGGCAGTTATTCAGTAGCACTTGGGTACCAAATGTACAACTTGTTTTAGGAGATATCCCAAACACCTTGTTATCAATCGTTTCTGTGCAAGGGAGCCTGGTGGTAATTCTGCAGTGAGCATGTTTCTTGCACCTTCACACTGATGAAAATGTTCACACTAAAAGGTTTGGCTTTCGCAGTTACAGTGTTAGCACTATTTCTGGATCACGCTCTGCTTACAGATTCCAAGGTCTCTGTACAATGTCCTTTCTGTTACCATAAAAAGTACGGGTATTCAACCAATTGGAATCTAACTTTGCAAGCAGCTAAGAATCAAGAAAGCAGTTTTTCCCAGTCCTGTATATAGCTTATAGGGCCCTTTGATGGTGCAGTGGGTTAAACCACTGAGCTGCTGAACTTACAGACCGAATCTGGGAAACGGGATGAGCTCCCGCTGTTAGGCCCAGTTTCTGCCAATCTAGCAGTTCAAAAACATGCAAATGTGAGTATATCAATAGGTACTGCTTCTGCAGGAAGGTAACAGTGCTCCATGCAGTCATACTGGCCACATGGCCTTGGAGGTGTTTATGGACAATGCCAGCTCTTCGAGTTAGAAATGGAGATGAGCACCATCCCCCAGAGACGGATATAACTAGACTTAATATCAGGGGAAACCTTTACCTTTACCTTTACTATATATAGCTTGTTAACATTACTTCAAATATTACTTTGCTTCTCAAACTCCAACTGTGTGCATGTATGTGCTTATAAAGGAACCCATACACTTTGAACATCACATAACACTCCATCAGGAAGACTGAAACGAGAATGTATATTATATTATATGCCGTTCCTGCCTACACTTCAACCATTTCACTAAAAATAGTAACAAAGGTGATAACATTTCTAAAATTAGCATGTATTTTATTTAAAATATTTCTACCTCCTATTTCTAAAGTCATAGACATGTGGAAGTTTAAAAGTCGTCACCAAAACTACCAATTCCTACAACAAATACAAAACACAGTGAAAGAGCAATAGAGTCAAGGAACAACTTGTGGAAGTACAAATAATTTGTTTAATTGTGCTTTGAATTAAACATTACTCACCTAACACTGATCCAAGGAAGTACCAAGACAATTTACTCTCACTTATGGCATAATGTGTAATGTCCTGAGCCAGCTAAGATATTTTGACACACAACAAACACCTCTCCACCTCCCGGGTATTAAAAACATAGAGATAAAAAGAGAAATTATTAATAGTGTTCTACCCTTTTAATGGCAAGTAAAATCTGATGCCTGGGGCGGCTGTTAATTCTGCATAATGTGGGAATCGGTGGAACAAGCTGTTCTTTCTGGCTGACTGCTTCACTCAGTGCAGAGCAATGGTTGGGGAAGTGGTCAAGCTCTGTATTGCCATCCATTAATTGCCTGTGTTTGGTGTCCCTGGACTTGTCCCACCTGCTTTTCTGCAAAGAGGGAAGAAGGGGCAGACTTCACCCCCAGCATAAGAGAACTTCTTTCTCTTTCAGCTAAAACAGGTTTGAGTGTATCACTGCCATCTGATAGCCAAGAAAATGGAGCTTGCAGGGTTGGGAGCCTTGTGAAAGGAAGTACTTCGATACCTTCTTTCTCAAGATCTGAAAAAGTACACATGACAGCATAACTCCCAAATACACAATGTATGCCGAAACTTGATGCCAGAAAAGCTGTGTAAAGATATGCTACTAGAGGCCACCGGAAATGTGTGGCATTGATGAGGATTTAATTCTGTTTAGATCTCTTAAGAAAAGGGCCACAGTCCAGAGGGTGAAGGAATTTTGTGCTATTGCCTCTAAAATCAGGGCAGTAAATAAAGAACAACACTCAGAAAACAGGAATTCCAGACAGGAAACAATTATGGCTAACGCACACCTCCTAACAAAGAATTCCCCAAGACAAGAAGCAGCCAGGCTTTGAAGCTGCAAGGCCATTAAATGCTAATCAAGGTGGCCAGTTGCAACATTCACACTTGCCTCAAATAGACAAGAGTTCTTTCTCCCTCTCTGGACATTCCACAGATATATACACCTCACTTGCCTAGTTTCCAACAGACCCCTCAACCTCTGAGGATGCCTGCCATGGATGTGAGTGAAACGTCAGGAGAGAATGCTTCTGGAACATGGCCATACAGCCTGGAAAACTCACAGCAACCCATAGCCATACTTGTTTACTCTTGTTCACACTCATGGCCAGACAAATCCATCTGACACCAAGCAAATATGAAAAGAAATTACTTAATGCCACAAGCTCATTGTGACTTCCTCTCTGCTATCCCACAAAGCACCTAATTACAAATAAAAGTTATGCTGCCTATTAAATGGCTTCTAATGAATATTGATTTTCAGCTGATGAATCTGCACCTCACTATAAATACCATATTGATACTGCCGCACAAGTGTCATATTGATTCTTTGCTCCCTAGTGCCTTTGCATTGGTTAATTAAAAGGGGAAATAGTTTAAGACTCCAGAGATGTAGCCCCAAAACTGCATCCCATCTGACAAAGGAAAGAGTAACCCTCCCACTCCAAAATCCTCCATGATGTTCAGAGGTGCTCTAAACATAAAAGGGAAAGCCTATTGCTGTCAATTCCAATATACATTCATATCAATTGTCAGAAGATGGCACAAAGTTATAAGGATGTGAATCAGGTGTCGACTGAACTGATTTACACTGAATGACTCACAAGTAACATGGGTGACTGATGCAGGGAGAAAATGAGGGCATGGTTGTGTGAATCTGTCTCAAGGGCCCATGTAACTCAAGGCAATGATCCAAAGAATTGACATAAATCCAGAGCACTGACATATGGGAGCAATCAGGACTTTCTCTTTGTACTGTAGAGGTTGCCAGTGGTGAAAAAAAATAAGGTACTAACAATTGCACCTTTCCATGTATATGGGAAAACAAGTTTCTCCATAATGCATTACCGGAAGCATTCAAACATTCTTCAAGGCAGGTCACAGAAACTTGAATTTATAGATATATAGCAGTGGTTCCTAACCTTTTTTTGACCAGGGACCACTTGACCAGGGACGACTCTCCAACATTAGTACCAAAAGGGTTACGAATCAGTTTTTGGTCAACTCTAGATTCAGTTTGGTTACAACAACCCCAAATAACCCAGGAACAGGCCTAAAAATGAAGACACCAAGAAAAAGAAATTTGGGTTGTTGTAGGTTTTTTGGGCTGCATGGTCATGTTCTAGAAGCATTCTCTCCTGATGTTTTACCTGCATCTTTGGTTGGGCTGTGTTATTATCCATGGGTTTTGTTAACACCCATGTTAAAAAAAAAAAGACTAGGAGGGGGACTGAGGTTGATAAAAATACAAATAGCAGAGCGAGAGACCCAAGAAACTGTCCCTAACATCTTTCTCTCACCACCTCACCATGGGCTCATGGCCATGAGGAAGGGGACGTGGTCCGTAGGACATTGCAATGGTGTAGTAACGGTGAGGACGTGGACCATATTTTAGTTCTTGCGGATCACTGGTGTTCCACGACCACTGGTTGGGAACCACTGATATATAGAAACACTGAGCTGGAAAAGCAACCCAGTCCAATCCCCTGATATGCAGGAATACATACATGGATCCATATGTACTTACCTTATCACACAGGGGAATTCCCCCCCCCCCCCAAATGCTATTTCTAGTCTGAAATCAATCCTCCTGCTTCTTAAAATAAGTTAAATTGTTCATATAATCTTTGATACTGACTGGATTCATTTCATGGATCAGATGAAGTAACTTGTCCACAAACACTGTTGCTAAAAATGCCTTCTTGCCCATTAATCTCAAACATGCCACTGGATTCCTATATATCTTTTTATGCAGTTTAAATATTGTTGTAGAACTGTCAGCCTGCTACAAGTGCATGAAGAAGAGCTAAAGTTTATTTCTCGTGCTGCACAGAGGAACTTAAATTATTAAAGTGCATCTTTTTCTTAGTAAGTGAAGTGGTTGTTGAAAGATGTTCTTCCCGATTGTTGCCTAGCTGCCAGTGATATGAATTATATGTGGGACAATAGTGGCCTCACTTGTGACCCTTTAATCCTCTGTGTTGTCCTGGATTAGTTTATAATCCATTTAGATGTCACATCCAGGGATACCCAAAATAGCACTTAATTGTTGCTTTCCCCTCCAAATCACATGAGATCACATGCCACGCGCTCATGGCAGGATCAGTCTTTCACCCTGCCAGCACAATGTTTCCTTTGTAGTCACTCTTGTATACTTCTTTTATAGGCCTGTTCCCTGCTCTATGCTTGTTGCTCAGGACTATATACCTAGTTTCTAGTACAACAAATCTTGTTGTCATATTTCTGTGGTGTTGAAGCAAACACAATAGTACATAAGTCACAAATTCAACTTGAAACCAGCTGGGTGCTGTGTTTGACTAGTCCACATTCTGCTACCCAATGTGGCCTTGAGGAATGATTGCTTCTTGAGTTCATACTAGATGTTTTTGGAAATATGTATTCTATATATTTGATGTGTTTTCTTCCCACAATTGAATTTCCTCTAGGCTATATTCTTCAGCCATTAGACTTGCAAATGCATGTTTACCTTCTAATGGTCATTCATAAAACAAAGCATACCAAACACAAAATACGTAGGTAAGAAAACTCATAGGCTTCAGAGGAACATAACTGGGATTAAAACAATCACAACAAACATAACATCCAGTTTGACTAAGACTAATTATCACCATGTAGCTTTATCTCTGTAGTTCCCAACCTGTGGTCCATGGACCATAGCGGTCCGCAAGAACTAAAATATTGTCAGCGGCCCCACTGTTACTACACTATTGCAATGAGAGCAACTGGTCTCATGAAAATCTCTCATAGTGCCGAGGCTTATTAAATACGTTTTTTGTGGGTGAGAAGATGGCGACTACTGGATGGTATATGTTCTGTATCAGAAACTAGAGCTGATTTGGTCTATCCAATGGAATTTTCTGAATCAGCACCCTAAATAACCAAACCAAATCTAAAGTTGACCAAAAACTGATTTGTAATCTTTTTGGTACTAATGTTGGAGAGTTGTCCCTGGTCAAAAAAGGTTGGGTACCACTGCTTTAGGGGCTTCTATGACTCATCTACACTGCCAAATAAAATAATCCAGTTTCTGAATCCAAATTATCTGCTTCGAACTGGATTATATGACAGATAAGTCTACCAATGCTACTAATCAGAGGCTCTTCCCTATTTGTCTCTTTAATGGATTTTTTTTCTGGTAAGAAAGAAGATGAAAGAAGTGGTGAGAAAACACAGAACATTACAAGATGAAGACGACAGCATCTGAGCTTCCTGTAAAAACAATGATTGAGGCAGGGCAATTGTGCATATGAACACATTTCTCATTTTTGAATTCCATACACAGAATGTTCATTTGCATGAGGCACAATTGTGCAATGGAGATACAGATATAGAAGACATTTCTCATTTTTTAAATTCCATACACAGAATGTTCATGTGCATGAGGCAGTGGTTCTGAAAACTGCACTAATTTTGGAAGTAATAACTTAAAAGTAATGTAACAAAGGTGCATCTCAAAAGTAATACAACAAGGGCAATCTATACTTAATATTTAGGGTAACAAATAGTATTTTCTGGTTATTCTTTAAACTTTTTTCCATAAGCATTCTTACGTCGTTTTTCATGGATTTCTCCTCATGTTTTATACTATATATTTATATCATTATATCATAGAATCATATAGTTGGAAGAGATCTGGTGGGCCATCTAGTCCAACCCACTGCCAAGAAGCTGGAAAATTGCATTCAAAGTACCCCCAACAGATGGCCATCCAGCTTCTGTTTAAAACCCTCCAAGGAAAGAGTCTCTATCACACTCCGGGGCAGAGAGTTCCACTTCTGAACAGCTCTCAAAGTTAGGAAGTTCTTCCTAATGTTCAGGTGGAATCTCCTTTTCTGTAGTTTGAAGCCATTGTTCAAACTACAGAGACATGTCCTAGTCTCCAAGGCAGCAGAAAACAAGCTTGCTTCCTCCTCCCTATGACTTTCCCTCACATATTTATACATGGCTCTCATCACATCTCCTCTCAGCCTTATCTTCTTCAGGCTAAACATATCCAGCTCTTTGAGCCGCTCCTCATAGTTGTTCTCCAGACCCTTCATCATTTTAGTCACCCTTCTCTGGGCTTCTCAACATCTCCCTTCAATTGCAGTGCCCATAACTGGACACATATATTCCAGGTGTGGTCTTACCAAGGAGAACAGAGGGGTAGTATGATTTCCCCGGATGAAGACACTAGACCCCTATTTATTCAGGCCAAAATCCCATTGGCTTTTTTAGCTGGTGTAAGATATTGTTAGCTCATGTTTAACTCCAAGATGTTTTTCAGACGTACTACGAGCCAGACATCGTCCCCCATTCTGTATCTTTGCATTGCAATGGTTCATATATATATATATATATATATATATGATGCAAAAAGTTGCCAAACAAAAAATATGCTGCAAAAATAGTGTCAATATTCAAAGTTAGTGTATTTTTATTGAATACATTATTCATTTCTTTTTAAAATTATCTTTCCAAGCTCTATCCTTAAATCACATTGTTAACCAACTGGAACTTTCCCCACTATTGCAATGTAGGGGTGTATGTGTGTTCTCAGGACCTATGTTGGAAAAACAAAAAGACCTCGGTTGGAAAAGGAAAAGCACGCCTTCTAGTATGCTAAGGTCCTAATGCAAATGGGGAAATATGAAAACTACTCATCATTATGCAGCAGATGCTTTATCCTTTTCAAACACCATTATCATTACTACAAACCTGCAGTATAAAGATTTTTCTTTATCTCTTCATTAGGCAGTATCAAGCTCTTTGTATTATCTCATTAGGCAGTATTAAGCTCTCCATATCTCTCTGTTGGAAAGCAATTATATGTATTTACAGTATGATGCACAATTCTGTCTGCAGGTTGCTGAGCAGCTTATCAACCCATTTGGGGAAGATGATGATGATTTTGAAACAAACTGGTGCATTGATAGGAATCTGCAGGTAAGCTTAGGAATCTGCAGGTAAGCTTCAAAGTATTATTACTTTCTTTGATCATGCTGTTGTGCAACCTGGGGCATCCCATGCTCTGACATCTCAAAGATTAACAGAACAATATCATCATTGAAACATCCAACACCCTGCTGAAATCCATCTGATGTGATCAGAGTTCACCATCTACCAACCTCCCTTTTTTTTTTTTGGCCTCTCAAAGCAATTTATCTCCCTTTGCCAGCAAAAACCAGGAATAGTCTAATTCGGATCATAAGAAACAGCCAGATCACACCATTCAAATAAAAAAAACCGTGCATCAAACCAATGAGAAAATATTTCTCTCACTGGACATTAAGTCATCCAAGCTCTGCTTTGAATGGCAAAATAATCAACTATACTTTCTGCCATATATGCCTCAGATCAAGAAAGGAAATTGCTTTGGAAGTCCAAAACACTGGAGGTGGGTTAAGAGAAGTCAACAATAAGATGAGAAAACCCACAAAGCAGCAATCCTGCAAACCCCATTCAACAACTCCTGAATCAAAATGATATTTCTTTATGCTTCCCCCTCCCTGCCATTGAGCGTTGGTGCCAACTGTGGCTTGAGAAACCTGGAGAGGAGAAGGAAGTGATCAGGCAGATCCCTGGAGAATCCACTACAGCCATTCCAAAGAAATGGGCAGCAGAAACAATGCACTGTCTTTTCAAATTACCTTCCTTTTCAAAGTACCACTCCCACCTTGAGATACTTCTCCTGCTTCCAGACATGTCTTTAGGTTCAGCTCCACCTCATAACCATTTCTGTTCTTGGGGATTCTAGTTTATTTGATGGGTCTGCAATTGTGAGTGTGTAATCAAAATATCTGGGAAAGTTACTTTTTGACCATTCTCAGTGTGCATGGCCAGTCCAAAAAAGTAACTTCCACCACCCATTAACGTATTCAGTTAGATCACATCACCAGACCTCTTGTTTGTGACATTTTCTAGAGTAGAAGTATCCGGTGATTTGCTTCCCTTTCATCCTATCATACGGTGTTGAGGGCAGTAGGTGCTTCACCCAAAACAGTCTACCAGACCAGTCCTGGTAGACTGTTGTCTACAGCTCCCAAATACAAAGCTTGAATACATCCAGTAGGAACTTGCTTTTCCCCTTGAACATCAGGCACTTTTGCAAATTACTTCTGAAATAGCCACACAATTCAAAAGAAGTTTAAAATAAAGTGCAGCAAATTATTTGGAATAATTTGGAATGCCCTCCCTATAGAGATTAGGCAGGCCCCACACTGTCCTCCTTCAGGAAGAAATCGAAGACTTGGACATTTGGACAAGCCTTTGAGAATGTCTAGTCCCAATGGTCTACAATTTAATGCCACAGCACTGTACTTTCATCCCACGCCCTAGTTCATTTGCTAAAATTTGCACTATCCTACTCATTGCTCCTGTTTACAGTTGGCGATGTGTTATGACAGTTCTCATCATAGGTTATGGGGCACTGTTTTGAGCTTAAACTTTGTTGTATTTGTTTTTGGTTTTATTTTGTATTGTATTGTGTGTTTGTTTTTATGTGTATTTGGCATGGTGTGCCATATGTAAACCGCCCTGAGTCCCTTCAGGTAGATGGAGGCGAGATACAAAAATTAAGTTGTTGTTGTTGTTATTTGAAATACAACAAGATTAGTACACAGCAAACAAGATCACTATGCTGGTTGTTGAATTGGATCACACATCAGACACTTCCCAAGTGTCTAGAACTATGTGATGTACCGGCGAATAATGCATGCAGATTTCAGTAGGGTGGCCTTTTGCAGCTGACAGTAATTTTGTCAGCACTGATTGTGTTTAAGTGCAGGCCAAGGTTTTTAGGCACCGTACCTGATCACTGGGACCACCTTGACTGGCTTGTGCCAGAGGCTTTGCAATTTGATCTTTAAATTATTATTATTATTATTATTATTATTATTATTATTATTATTATTATTATTATCTAACCATAAAATGTGCCAACTTAATTATGTATTTCTTTGTCCTGTGGCTAAGATTTTTAGGCTTCTGATAGCATTGTAAGTATTGTAATTCCCAGTTATCATCCTAGGTGTCACTTCTGGCAGTTGATGAAATGCACATGAATTTACCACGAATGAAAAAGGATATTTACTGGGATGATTTATCAGCTCGCCCACCATATACATTAGCAGCAGCAGATTCCTGCATCCCATCCTTCCTTGGATCAACAATTGAAATGGGGTATGTAACTCTACAACTTTTTATGATGGTTTTGCATGGTCAAAACAGCTCCTTATGATTCCCCATGAACAGCCCACACTTAAACCAGGATTAAAGTTTAGGTCACTGATTATGGAAAGAATATAGCAAATGACAGACAGTGCAGAACAAAACAAGAACTTGGCTTGATCAAACCCGAGGTCAATACCTTCTAGCAAACTCTCTCCCATAGTGTCCAATTAAATGGACACTATGGGTAAGAAGCAGATATACAAAACTACAAGCAAAGCAAAATAGCCTCATGGGGGTGCAATTTACCCACACATTAAAAAGTGGAACCTATAAATAATATATTCCAGTGTAGAGGCTCTGATTCATTGCTCCAGCTGACCAGCTATACTCTTTTTCTAGGATATTCCATTATGCCCCTGCTTCTCATGTCTATTGCATTTCCAAAAGGAGTTACAAGCACTCTAGAAACATAGGTCCTTTTCCTCTCCAAAGTTGTTTTGGGCTGTTGTTTTTGTTGTTACAGCTGCTGCTGTTGCGAACCATCCTCATGACCATGACTGATATTTTTTGTGACAACAGCTCACACCACTTTAGTATTGCTATATGCTATATATAAGCACTTTCATGTTTTCTCTTGCAGTCTCGCAGACAGCCAATTCCTGCATGGAGAAAACTGGCACCGGGATTATGATAAACCCAGAAGGCAGCATTCGGTGCTGAGAAGAATGAAGCGATTTCTAAGTGTCCGTGAAGAGTCCTCTGTGCCGACTAGGAACTACCAAAGACAATCCAGTGAAAACTCTGTTTTTTTCCCATCCCACGAAATGCACCACATCGGCAATTTATTAGAAATCCATTCCAGGGGCAGACATTTTGCCTCCAATGAAAGGAAAAGCTATGAAGGTCCCGAGAAGAGTATGAAGGGACATGGGAGTATGGATCTTGGGATTATAAGAGAAACCAGCAAGAATGATGCTCTAGAGACAGGTTGCCAGTCCACTGGGGAGGAGAACATAATCAAAATGGATCCCATTGTTTCTGAAAAAACCGTTACTGAATCTGAGGGCAGAGAAGCCAGAACGGATGAAGAAGCAAACAGCACAGCAGCTCACATCCTGACAGAGGATGATTCTAGGAGTCAAAGTGGATCACAGACTGACTCTGAGGGACTTGGGCTGGCTCCCAATGCATCACAAAACAGTCCGACACATCCACCAATGTTGCCTTCAAAAACAGAACCACTTCACATGGAATCCAGGCTGCAGGATTCATCCGTGAGGAACCAAGGGGGAAAGCAACCTTGTTCATCTCAAAATATATCTGACAGTCCATTATGGAGATTCCCAGATGCTGTCACTCAACCTGTGGTGCCCCCCACAGAAATGGCTTCTCTCCTACCAGAATCTCCTAAGACGTCTTCTGGAAAAAGCAACCTGAGCACTCCAAGTACTCCTGTTTCTCCTTCTCTAAATACATTTGACATAAACTACTTTCTAGGACAGGCTGATGCTAAAGAAACAGATATCCTTCATATAGTTGAGAGTAGCAATGGGAAAAGTAAAGGACACCTCTGAGACATGAAAGAGCATCATTGTGCTTTGCTCCTGACTCCTACAACTCACAGAATTTTATTGATTTTTGACTCAGAACAAAGGTTTGCAAGCTACCCTAGGACATTGCCCAATAAATGCTCCGGATGCCTTTATTTTCATAAAACAGTTCAAAAATATTTAAACCTACATTGATTATGTTTTTCTGAGCAAGTGTCAGTCCAAGTTGAACCAGTAAATATGTGAGGTATAGGGAGGAGAATGCGTATTAGATTGACTGTGTTCAAGAAGCTGAGGTTGACATTACATTGGATAGTCCGCAGTAGAATTGATCTATGCAATCAATTGCTGACACATAGGTAAATCCCACTAATTCAGTAAGTCTACTCTAGCCATCACTGACAGCAGGATTTAGGCTCTGACAGTCCACTAGCAGAAACTTTTATCCTTGTGACTGGAAAATACTCACTTGTGAAACTTCTTTCTATAGGTTCTCCATCTGGTCCATGGTCTTCTTTTCCACCACAATACCTGTAATACATCAATCAGCCTGGAGCCCCCAGTGGTGCGATGGGTTAAACCCTTGTGCCGGCAGGACTGAAGACCGACAGGTCACAGGTTCAAATGTGGGGAGAGTGCAGATGAGCTCCCTTTGTCTGCGGAGACACGAGAGAAGCCTCCCACAAGGATGGTAAAACATAAAAAAAAAACCATCCAGGCATCCCCTGGGCAACGTCCTTGCAGGTGGCCAATTCTCTCACACAAGCCCTATGAGGAGCAGGTTAAAGAGCTGGGCATGTTTAGCCTGCAGAAGAGAAGACTGAGAGGAGACATCATAGCCATGTATAAATATGTGAGGGGAAGTCATAGGGAGGAGGGAGCAGGCTTGTTTTCTGCTGCCCTGGAGACTAGGACGCGGAGCAATGGCTTCAAACTACAGGAAAGGAGATTCCACTAGGATTCTATGATTCTAACTTCTTGTGAGAGCTGTTCAGCAGTGGAACTCTCTGCCCTGGAGTGTGGTGGAGGCTCCTTCTTTGGAGGCTTTTAAACAGAGGCTGGATGGCTATCTGTTGGGGGTGCTTTGAACGCGACTGACCTGCTTCTTGGCAGGGGGTTGGACTGGATGGCCCACGAGGTCTCTTCCAACTCTATGATTCTATGATTCTAGAAGCAGTTTCTCAAGTTGCTCCTGACACACAAATCAATCAGCCTTAATTTACAAATCCATCAGTGCCAATGGAAGGTATTTTACAAGCCTAATTGTAACATAGGGGGTAATTTACAAGTAGGTTATAACTGCGGAAATAACCCATCCCATGAATCCACACCTCCCTCAAAAATCCTCTCTTCTAAGATTTAAATAAACGTCACATTGGTTGGCAAGCAACACGGGAAAACTTGCATATAAAAGTGGAAAAAAGGACACTTAAAAAGATCAATTTCTTGACCAATTTTAATTGACTTGCACATTTGCATCTAGAACTGATCTGAAAACATAAGCTGTGCACAAATGAGAAATTCAGCTTTTAAAAGTATCACCTGAGGTCACGATAGCTCTCAGCATACAACGGCTGTAGAAAATTACTGGGCGCCTTGCCCTTCTATTTCTACAACCAAGTTTGGTCCACTGCTAAAGGTATGAAAACCCTCTTCACATGTTGACAGAAAATATCGGTACAGATCATTGGTTTCCCCAAACGTTATCCTACTTCTAATATGTGTCTGACAAAGTGCAATGTCATCACTGACAGAATGCAGGCAAGACTGGCGGAGAAGAGGTAAACCAACCAATTAGGGTTCCACTTCCATTAGTTACACCAGACCTTCATTTAATAGAGAAAAATCTCATCAAGAGACTAACATGTCAACTTGTCTACATACACCAAAAAATAATAATACCCATCTTACAGATACTCTGATGATTATTTTGTAGTATTTTTTGTGCTTCAATTCATTTTTAAAACTTGCCTTTTACCCCAAAGTCTTATAGAAAATCCAGATTTTAGGCATGTCATCAGAGCATCACTTCAGTGTGTAATTATGGTGAGAAGTTAGTGGTGGGCAGAACTGGTTGCTGAGAGGTAAGCAATTCCACCAGAAAGTGGCTTCTTCCAAAGTTGGTTTGTGTGTAGATGCCTGCCTATCAATATATTAGTACTAGTGCACCTCCGCTTAAAAGAAAATACGTTAGTGTGCATGTGATGAGGGTGGATAGAAGAGCATCCTCGACCATGTGGCAAAAAATAATGCAAATAATGATCAAAGGTCTGGAGGCCATGTTCTATGAGGAGCAGCTTAAAGACCTGGGGATGGTTAGCCTGCAGAAAAGAAGGGTGAGAGGAGAAATTATAACAATGTTTAAATATTTGAAGGGATGTCATAAGGAGGAGGAAGCAGGCTTGTTTTCTGCTGCCTTGGAGACTAGGGGTCCTTCCAGACATGCCCTATATCACAGGATTTGATCCCAGGTTTTCTGTTTATCCCAGATTATCTGGCAGTGTGGACTCATACAATCCAGTTTAAAGCAGAAAACCCGAGATCAGATTCTAGGATAGGGCCCTATGACTTGGAACAATGGGTTCAAATGACAGGAAAGGAGATTCTACTTGAACATTAGGAAGAATTTCCTGACCATGAGACCTGTCCAACAGTGGAAGTCTGCTTCAGGGTGTAGTGGAGGCTCCTACTTTGGAGCTTTTCATGAGAAGCCGGGTGGTCATCTGTTGGGGGTGCTTTGATTGTGCCTTTCCTGCATGGCAGGGGGTTGGACTGGATGGTCTGTGTGGTCTCTTCCACACTATGATTCTATGATTTCCTGCCAACCCATCTAGACTTACTGTTATGTAGGGAAGGGTCATTAGTATTATGCAAGTTTCCATTGATGAGTGTCTACTACACCTTCTAATAATGCTTTGTTGTATGAGCAGCAGGCTTTGCAAACCCAACTCTGTCATTCCCACGATCAAAGATACAATAAAAAGCAGACATAAATACATCTCCCAGAATCCACAGAGGCATGTTGTGGCCGCTGATGTCCTCAGCCTGAAAACCACTGAGACACACATTTTCTTTTCCATTAAACTCCTGTGAAAGAAAAACAGACACTTCTTTTTGAGTGATGTGTTTCCATGAATGCTAGGTGTAACAAAGATGGGTTTCATGAGCAATTTTGTACGATTCAGCCAATGAAACCCATGAGAGCTTAGATACATACCTTGATTATGTATTTCTCTGCAGGTAGTGTAAATTCTCTCTCCCCAATGGAGAAGGTTATCGGGGGCAGACTGGATACTCTTCTGCAGTCTACAAGGAACTGTGATGGAAAATGACTTATTCAGCCTTTTTTTCGTTTGTGTTTTCCCCCCCATTCATGTATATCTTTTTTTTTTTAGCCTTTTATACCTGGAAACTTTACAAACAGAGCATCATGGTGATGGAAATTCTATTTGCTTTTTATCATCTAGTAACCAGAGGCATATTTGACTAGAGGTGCATCTAAACTGTGGAATCAATGCAGTCTGACACAATTTTAATTGGCATTGCCCAACTTTATGGAATCTATGGTTTGTAAATTTTGAAGTCTTAAGCCTTCTGTGCCAAAGAGTCCTGGTGATTCACCAAATGACAAATCCCAAGTTTTCATAGTATTGAGTATTCACAGAACAGATACCATGCCTTGTAGAAGACTTCCAGCAACTTGGGATCCATTCACATGACATAATTATAGTGCTATTATTCCTTTTCACGCAATAGAGCTTGCAGTTTAGGGAGAGGCATTTTGAATTCTTGACCATAACATTTTGCTGCCTATCAATCACCAGCCTCAGGCTTCCATAGGATGTAACCAGGACACTTATATAGAATAATGCTAAAATTTTAAATTGTGAATGGGCCCTTGGTGCCTTTCAGTTATTTTAAATCGCAACTCTTATTATCCCAGGCAATGTAGGCAGAGTTATGGCACTAAGATACGTCACAAGGGGGCAGTCACACCCAGATCAAAACCATATGAATTCAAAAAGAGGTAAATGATGGCAATATCCTAACATCAACAGGTCTTGTTTTGTCTTGAGTTGCCCCTTAAACACATTTACCTCTCCAGTTGCAGTTGGGAAAGCTCCAATACTTTGTTGCAGTCTTACTATTTGTGAAAGTGGGCCAGTAATGAGTGAAGTACCCGAATCGACAATGGCTTCACAGCCAGAGTTACATGATATGATCTGTCCTTGGATTTTCACACTATATGATGAAAATGGCAGAAGAAAGAGAGAGAAACAAAAGCACAGATGTGTCATCAAAGGCTTTCATGACTGGAATCACTGGGTTGCTGTGAGTTTTCCGGGCTTTATTTATTTATTTATTTATTGTATTTCTATTCCGTCCTTCTCACCCCCCAGAGGACTCAGGGCAGATTACAATGCACATATACATGGCAAACATTCAATGCCATTTAAACATACAACATATATAGACAGACACAGAGGCATTTAACATTCCAGCTTTTRCYGCTTCATGAGGCTCAAWTCTGGCCACAGGYGGAGCTGCCYCTTCACCGTCCACTTGTGACACCGAGTCCTTTMATGGAGTACTTCCTCATTCTTGCACACACTGCTGGAAGGTTTTATGGCYRCGRAAATTAGTTAAATTAACCTCCRTGCATAAAGTGGTACCTAAATTTCCTACTTGACAGATGCAACTYTCTTTCYGGCTGCATAGGTCGMCAGCAAGCTAGACTATTAATGGTTGGGAGCTTACTCTGACCCAGGRTGGCTTRGAACTCATGACCTCTTGGTCAGTAGTGATTTAATGCAGCTGGCTACTAACGYGCTGCACCACAGACTGGTCCTGTATGCCATGTTCAGAGGCATTCTCTCCTGACATTTCACCCACATCTATGTTCTTACTTGCCTAGTTTCCAATAGACCTCACAACCTCTGAAGATGCCTGCCATAGATGTGGGTGAAACATCAGGAGAGAATGCCTCTGGAACATGGCCATACAGCCCAGAAAACCCACTGCAACCCAAAAGCACAGATGTTAAGATTAACATGCCTGAAACAAATACAAACATGGGGGATATACTGATTGGGAATTAAATAAAGTAATACGTGGAAAGTGTTTTTTTAAAGCATCCAATATAGATATAAACATTTCATTAAAAGGCTTAAATTGGAAAGTTACATTAGCCACAGCACTGATGAGTATCAGTTCTAGATTGGCACACTTTCTTTATACATCAATCAGGGCTGATACGTTTGGAGATTAGAAGATCTTCTGCCTTACCTCCTCAAAGCGTCAGCTTAAATGAATTTACCTGTTCATATGAATTTGCCAGTAACCCTTCTTAGTGACAGGAAACCATTGAATGGGGCCTGTGAAGAGGGAATGGTCTATGCCCCCGATAGTCAATACACCTCCATTCTCACCGTCGTGTTCTCTATAAAAGATTAAATGCATTGATTCGGTAAACAAGCAAAAGATGCCGTTGTGCTGCAACAGGAAAATTAATAAGTTTCAATTCTGTCAGGTCAGCTATTAGTGCTTGTCTGTTCATGAAAAGAGAGAAATTGTCTCCAAGAAAATATTGATGAGGACTACAAAGTTTGACGTCTACAAAGTTAAATACCAGAGCCATCTAAAATCAACTCGCCTGAAAACCAGTCTTCAGTTGATTTTACACCATAACTTTTTGAATGATTAGCAAAAAATAAAAAAATAAAAAATAGTGATTAGAACTTCTGGAAGTTGAAATCCCAAACATCTGCAGAGTCACACATTGCCATTCCAATTTAAGAGACTATGGCCCCTTCTACACTGCCATATAATCCAGATTATCTGCTTTGAACTGGATTATATGAGTCCACACTGCCATATAATCCAGTTCAAAGCAGACAATCTGGATTTTATATGGCAGCGTAGAAGGGGACTATTTTTCTCAGCCAGAGATATTTGCTGACAGCAAGATTTCATAACATTGGAACCCATGCCTTTATTTTCTAGGATACCTTTCTAGGTCCTCCTATGCAGTTCAGTGGTATTCTATGACCAGGAGAAAGCTAATTAAATGGAGTTTGATTGTATCCATGGTTTCAAATATCCACATTCCAATCAGGAATATATTCCCATAGATTTGGATGTCTTACTGTATACTATTTGAAAGTAGACACCTTTCTCATCCCATCAAATGATCTGATGATAGACAGTAGGCAGAATGGCTTCACTGCAAAAGCAACAGAGAGACACAGTGACTTTGCTAAGAACCTTGCCATTTTGATTCATGTAGATGTTTGGTCTTGGCATGGTGTTGTTAGATGTACAACACCTACATTGTCATAAAGTTCCAATAGTCCAGAAGAAAGATAGAGTGTGAGATTGAAAGTCTGCAGAGAGAGAGAGGAAGGATTCTGTGCAATGTAAGACACCATAATCCCAATCACAGTAGAAGCCAAAACTGAAAACCAATCATGTGTCACAAAGTGTCACAAAATGTTGAAAATACCTTGTTCCTTTATTTTCCTCATAGAAGGGATGGCATGTAGATGAGAGACCAGTACTCAAGCATAGAAACATTCAGATTTCAAATCCCTTTTAAAAATTGAGATCTAATCCCTTGTATTTTCTATTGGAGCTGAGAATTACTTCTCTCCAAAACTTTGGAGATCTACTGCCAGGCAGTACAGATCAGTGGCTCCCAAACTCAAGTCTCTGGATGTTGTTGGCCTACAGTTCCCATCATCACTGATCACAGATCTTGCTGGCCAGAGAATGGAAGAGTTGTAGTTCAACAACATCTGGGACTGGAGGGAGGGAACCACTGGTATAGACCATTCTGAGCTACATGAACCAGTAGTCTGACTCAATGTTAGGCAGCTTCTTACATGTTCATTTTTTATTTGAGTGGATCCTCTTCTAAACTGATAGAGAAAGAAGTATGTAGGGAGAGAAACTCAGTCTATAAACAGATACACACTCATGCCCATGCCAGTTTTCATGTTACTATTTCCCCAGAAATCACCTATGCTGTCATATCCCATATTTATATTTTAAAATACTAACCTGTACAAGCTGAAGGAAAATAGAGGTTCCTCTACCAAATTTTGCTTTATTATATTGTCAAATACTGGCAATGAGTTGGTTACTGATAAGGTTGGATATCCCAAGCCCAGCACTCCATCGAAGTGTGCAAAGGCAAAAGTCATGCCAGGTTCAAAAACTGACTCTCCGAAGGCTTGGTCTTCAATGGTAATGTTGCCAATCTGTTCATCAATTTGTATAAAAGAAATATAATATATGAAATGTGTTTGCACTTTAGTTGCTCAACAATTTATTAATTTCTGATATATAGTCTATAGCACATGTTTTAGAACCTCATCGGACAGATGGAGGGAAAGGTGAGGGAACCGTCCTTCTTTGTTCCCTACCGTCTTTCCCCATCTTCTGGGATGGCCAGCCATCGCATGTCCTTTTCCCGTCTTCTGCCAGTCTTACATGTTTTAAGACATTTGGAGTCAGATATGGTTGAAGGTGGCTTTAGAGCTCTATTTCCATGTGCTTCAGAAATGGAATCCCACCCGAAGTGCCCTTACGTCATATGATGGTCTCCATGAGACCCCATTTCCCCAGTGCATAGAAACAGAGCCCTGAAGCCATCTGATGAGGTCCTTATTGATCCATTTGCCATTATTTGTTTCCTGGTTGGAAAATATGGTTTCTTGATACTTAGGAAACTCAAAAAAAGTGAATACAATAGAGATAATTTTACACAATTTTGGACTGGGATTAAAATTATAAAATCATAGAGGTGGAAAACAACACAAGGACTATCCAATTGAATTCTCTACTATGCAGAAACACACCATCAAAGCACTCCTGGCAGATCCTAAAATGTTTGTGGAAATTATTATGTGTAAAAATACATGAGGAATTTTAGTTTTTTGCATGAAAATTGTGCTTTTGTGCAAAACTCCTGCATTCTATGCAAAGAATGCCCAAATAATGGACAGCCAGAGCACACATTGCACCCACGAATCAACTGTTATTACACTGGAAAAAGATGAGGAAAACTAAACATCTCTACTGCAGAAATATTGCTCAACACTTGAGGAGCACCTCTGCATAAAGAATAACAGCATTAAATAAACCAAACACGGTGATTCAATCAACACATTTGAGCCTTCATGATTTCTTACCTGTACCTTGTCTTTGGCAACAATACCCATGAGCCTCCCTGTGCCGTACTGCAATGTAAATTTCTGCCCTCCGTGTGCATAAGAGTCTGATGAAAACGGCATGAATTTTTGATGCAACTCTGTAAAAGCAAAGCCCATTTTTATGACTGATGTCCACAAGGTAGGATTAACTTTCAAAATTTTCATCACAAAAATAAATTAGCTAAGGCATAGCCCATGCCACTGCTAACTGGGAAACTGGGAAATGATAAAGAGCATGGACACATTTTTGGGGCAGAGTTTCTGGTGCCATATGGGCTTTATTGCTCCCCTGAAATGAATTGAAGGCTACTCTATCATCTCCAAACCCAAAATGCCAGTTTGCTCAGATTATGTAAGCAAAGAAAGGTGCCATTTTGGTTTACACTTCTGGTGGTGCAATGCCTGGCTGGCTATGGATCTGTGCATGTGCCTTCTAGCTGCCTTTTGATTTATGGTGAGTCCAGAAATTTCTTATGCAAGCCACATGTACAACTGGAACTTTAATTTCTGCGGTACTGAAATTATTTGACAAACAGCCACCTGGGGTATGGGACAAACAATTTGTACGCTCTCTTGACAAACAGAGTCAAGAGAGCTTACAGTGACACATATCAATATGACCCTGACAACATATACTTGACTGAATCACAAAGATTTCATGCAATCTTGTTTCCACGGGTTGGAGTACCTTTAAACGTCAGACAAATCCAGCGCATTTCAGCGCAACTAGAGGAATTTACAAACTATATGATAAAAGGACTGCAATCACTCCAAATGGAAACAGACTCTAGCAACACTTGACGAATAGAGAAAGAGCTACCAAGGATGAATTCACTAGAGTTGGACTGATGAAATCATGAATTATATGATAAAAGCCTTGCAACCCCATTTCAGGTTGCGACAGAATTTTTGTGCAATGGGCACTACTGTCCCATTATTACTTTGGCCCACAATAAAAGCCTTTGTAGTAAGAATCCAACTTATGGCTTCCTTGCATCGCTGCTCAAGCCTTAGGGGACTCCTAAACTTGGCGAGAGCTTGCCTGGAGTACTGGTGAGTCATTGCCTCTACAGCCATACAGCAACCCATTACTGAAACAGCATAACAGTCCTTACCACAAGCATCACTGATGCAATAAGCTGAAGGGACCCAAAAATCAGCAGAGCCAGTATCAAAGATCACTGTGAATTTCTGAGCTGGAGTGCCAATGCTCACCTCTCCATAATATTCGGTCTGTGGGAGAGGGGAGAGGGAAGGGGAGAGAAGTAATTATTGTTATTATTGTTTTTATTGCTTCTATGGTTTTTATATGTATTTATGATATGATTTAATCGCTTTTGACCCATATGTATGTATTTATATATGGCATCTAATTGTTGCCAGTCTGTATGCCGCCCTGAGTCGACTTCGGGCTGAAATGGGCAGGATAAAAGATGTAAATAAATAATGGCACACATAAAGAGGAAAGGGAATCTGCAAGGTAAGTGGCATGGCACACAGGGGCTCCTCCTCGGCCTCTTCCTCCCGTGTGATACAAGTGTCTGTTTTGCCAAAGGAAAGGAAGAGAAGTAACACAGAAAAATGCAGCACAGCCAGCTCCCAAACAGGAACCCCTGCTCACCTCCGAGGAAGGGACTGCCATGTGAATGTTCACACACAGCCCCATCCTTGGAAGGTGAGTGCAGTGCAAGGAATGATGCCCCCCCCCCCCCCAATACAGACATCTCCTGGAGATAGGACTGTCCTGTGAACATTCATAAGACAGCTCCATCCTCAAGAGACGGGTAGAGGGAGGACTCATAGTCATCACAGCTTCCTCCTGAACATTCAGCTCTAGCAGGCAGCACTGTCATGTGAACGTTCACATGGAAGACCCATCTTTGGGCACTGGCACGGCACAAGCGGTGATCCCTCTCCTATCCCCACCTCCTGAATGTTTGCATGGCAGCCCCAACTTAGGGAGGCAGGACCAGCAGTACAAGCCCATGAATAATTAAAACCATGTCTGTGAAACCTGTGAATGTGAAGGGCTGAATGCATATATTGCTTAATGATAAAAGCTATACAAAGCAAATTCAAGCCCCATAATATCATCGGAGGCTGTCCCCAGGTCTCATGTTTTGCCTGGAAATCTCAGAGCTAGGGATAAGTTTGGTCTGGCAACCATATCTGAGATCCATATATGTTTCATATGCAAATATGTTCTAGGAAGTTGTGACATAAAACTACAGCTGTACAAAAGGGGCATGAATGTATTGTCAAAGCCTTTCATGGCTGGAATCACTGGGTTGCTGTGAGTTTTCCAAGCTGTATGGCCATGTTCCAGAAGCATTCTCTCCTGACCTTTTACCTACATCTATGGCAGGCATCTTCAAAGGTTGTGAGGTCTGAAGATGCCTGCCACAGATGTGGGTGAAACGTCAGGAAAGAATGCTTCTGGAACATGGCCATACAGCCTGGAAAACGCACAGCCTCCCAAAATGGGTATGAACTGTATTATTATTTTGAAATATCTTAAATCCAGAAGGTGCCATGAGAGAAGTGGTATGCCAGGTCTGACTTCCAAAGCTTATCAGTCTACCACTTCCATATCAGCCCGTATGAAGTGGAATAGCAGAATCTCACATTCTATATTTAGAAGAAGGAAAAAAAAAACATTTCTGGCATCCTCTTCAGATAGTGACATGAGCTGAGGCGTCAAGAACATGAACCGTTTGTTTGTTTGTTTAACTGCTCGTGTGCAATTGATATTTGTCATTTTTCTTCCAAATTTATTTTTCATATATTTTGTTCACTTGGCACAAACTGACACAAAAGGTTTCTGATTACAGAGGACACTGTGGGGCTGCTTCAAAAAATCATGCCTATTCCTCCCTATACAAAGCAAGTGTTTTTGGTTACAGAATTGATATTAAAGCAGCTGGTGACAAGAAATTGCATATGGAGGGATGAGTGTGTTGTTTTGTTATTGTGTGCTGTGGAAGGCACTGAATTTTGCTGTGCAATAGCACATGACAATAAAGCTATTTTAGAAACTGATTTTTTGGAAGCAGGAAAACCCACATTTTGAAGTTACGGTGGCTAAAATAACAAAATATCTTACTGTAGAATCTTAGAAATAAATTTATTGTGCCATAAACTAACTTTGATCAAACTAGTTACTATGCTAGCTGGGGATTTGTGGTATGTCTTAGTGGAGGGTCAGAGGTGGGTGTTATGCCCCCAAATGGGATCCCCCAAATTTCAAGCATTGCCGAAAGTTTTTTCAGGTCAAGAGCGACTTGAGAAACTGCAAGTCGCTTCTGGTGTGAGAGAATTGGCTGTCTGCAAGGATGTTGTCCAGGGAACGCCCAGATGTTTTACCATCCTGTGGGAAGCTTCTCTCATGTCTCCACATGAGAAGCTGGAGTTGACAGACGAGGGGCTCACCCTGCTCCCAAGAATCAAACCACCAACCTTTCAGTTAGCAGTCCCGCCCACACAAGGGTTTAACCCATTGTGCCACCGGGAGCTCCCAGTGAAAGTAAATCATGGGAAATTGTTCACATCTAGAATTCTTATATTTTGCTGTGTTCACATTTCCTTGATCACTTGCCTACTGTTTTTCTTTGGATGCCTAAGTGCTCAACTGATATTTGAATTTACTGCAAGGCTAGAAATGTAGGTACTCGAGAACAATTTCATTAAGGAGCAGAATTCTTATGGAGAACAATGGTTCCATCTTTCCCTTAGGTACACCCCTATGAAAACCAATAATTGTTTCTCATGCCCCTTCTATATTGCCATATAAACCAGATCATCAAAGAAGAAAAACCGCATATAATTGCTTTGAACTGGATTATATGAGTCTACACTGCCATATAATCCAGTTCAAAGCAAATAATCTGGAATGCATATGGCAGTGTAAAGGGGGCCTCAGGGGGATGTGTTGGCATGAAGACCTGACTATATTTTCATGAGAATAATTATGGAGGGGGGGGGGGAACTAGGTGTCGCTGACAAAATGTATTTTAAATCACACTTCATACAGGTAATGACAGGATAATTAAATGTTTCCAGCACAAAATTGATTTATTTTGTGATATGGCAAAATGCTTTTGGTAAGATCAGGATTATTGACAGCCTTATAAACTTGAGTGTATAGGTCGTAATCCAGTTCCATTATATTTGAAACAAAAACGTTTGAGGAGTGTGTTAATCTGTATTCTTGTTTTATTCCTCCTCCCAGTTCAGTAATAGAAGTAGATACTCACATTCATGTAATCGCAGAGCCTTACTCTTGCAGGTCCTGCAGACAAAACAGTATCTGAAGGGAAGCAATGCAGGTACTTCTGAGCAAAACCATCTGGCAGATGATCTCTCCAGAACTGATCCAATTCTCCCTTTTGCCGAAGTGTTCCTCTGATAGATTTAAACCGAACTAGAGGGATCCTAGATGAACAATATCAATACACATTTTGTGTGTTGCGCAGTGGGATACCAGCTCCCAGGATTTGTCCTGTTTTTCCTGTTTTGTATATTCAAGGATCAAATGATACAAACGAATAGAGTGTGTGCTCTGAATATAATGATTACTAAAGGAGCCCCTGGTGGCACAGTGGGTTAAACCGCTGAGCTGCTGAACTTCCTGATTGGAAAGTTGGTGGTTCGAATCCAGAGAGCGGGAAAGACAGAGTTTGATAAAATTACTATCAACTGCCGAGGAGACTTTAAGGGTTAACTGGATCCTCTCCCAAAATGTACTTTAATTATTGTTAACTTGCATTGTTTTTGCTCTTTGTGGGAACATGATTATGTTTTCTCTTTAGCATCTTTGGTGCTTGTTGCTCTGAGGTGCCTGTGAGTATGTGATGCTTTTTGTCCTGGCCTTGGGCTTGTACAATAAACTATTCTGATTGAGTAGATCAATAGGTACTGCCTTGGTGGGAAGATAATGGCACTCCATGTAGTCATGCTGGCCACATGYCCTTGGAGGTGTCTACAGACAATGCCGGCTCTTTGGCTTAGAAATTGAGATGAGCACCACCCCCCAGAGTTGGACCCAATTAGATTTAATGTCAGGGAAATCCTTTACCTTTAAAGGGCTGAAATACACCACCACCACCACCCCCCCCCCATCGCCAGGCACAGGCAAACTTTAGAAACTTGGGGGTCGCATGGTGGGCTGGAGCAGGGTGGGTGGGCCAGTCAAATCTCTTTCCCTGCCATTAGAACCCATTGCTCCCTTGTGCCCTGGTCTCTAGAGCAGCAAAAAGTCAGTTTTTCCCCCTCCCTCCTCCCCAATGGGACACCCTTTTCAATCTTGAAAGATGGTTCTCGTGTTCCCTCTCTATCCTCTCTCCTCCCAACTAAGCATCCCCAGGAGGAAAGGAAGAAGGAAATGGATAAAGAAGGAAGAGAAGGGTGGAAAGAAATGGAGGAGAGGGAGGGAGGAAAGAGAGAAGGAAGAAATTAGTAATATAATAATAARAACTTTATTTTTATACCCCGCCAACCATCTCCCCTAGGGGACCCYGGGTGGTTTACAAGGAACACACCCAAGATTACAATTAAAACACACATGTAAAGCACTTTAACCAATTTAACTACTTAGACAAAAAGACAAAAGGGAAGGAAGGAAGTAGAAGGAGAAAGAGGGAAGAAGGGAGGAAAGAGGGAAGGAAAGACAAAACGGAAGGAAGGAAGGAAGGAAGGAAGGAAGGAAGGAAGGAAGGAAGGAAGGAAGGAAGGAAGGAAGGAAGGAAGGAGAAACAGAGAGAGGGAAGGAGGGAGGAAAGAGGGAAGGAAGGACTAAAGGGTAGAAGAGAAGGAAGGAGGGAGGGAGAAAGAGGGAGGTAGGAAAGGGAGTGAGGGAGGGAAGAGAGAAGGAAAGAATAGGATTGTGTGAGAGAGGAGAGCCTGAGAAAAGAGCCCAAGTGATTGCATCCGGCACCCGGGCCTGGGTTTACCCATACCGGAGTTAGATAGTCAGGTGGGTAATACCTCTACATGAAAATCCCAAAAAGCTCATCTTAGCTAGCATTAGATAATGCCCTTAAGCTAGTTCATTAGAGAATGTACCATGGGACTTGTGATCATGGTTTTATAAATCCCATTTATTGCAATCTGATTAATGTAGGAAATCTTCCTGTTTGGTTTTCCTCATCTCTAAGTGTAGTAGCATATAGCTCCGCAGCAAATAGGCAACCACAATCTCAAAAACTTTTGTCAATACATTTCTGGAATGATAGGCAAGACTCCTTCATACAGAAAAGTGGTTCCCATTGCTCAGAACACAGCAAAAATATTTGAAATTCTTCTTACCTTATCAGAGCTGTGGCTAATGGCATATAAATCAAAACAGCTAAAAGAACCTTCATGGCTTTGGGTGACTGGGACTGAAAATGAGGAATCGTCTTTCATCATCTCACCTTTTTATATACTTCCCTGGCCCCATCTATACAGCTGCTCATGAGGTCAATCAGTGCCTGGAGGTCAGCAACTTGGCAGGACATTTGTAATGCGCTGCAGAAGCAACCATTTGGGTAAATACTGTGATCTACTAGAACAAAGATGGGCAGGAGGGAGATTGGGATCTAATGTGAGATTATTGGATGTTTTGGAACAAATTAACAAGGCTTCCTGATTCAAAAAGTTCCAAAAATGGTGACAACCACACCATATCCCTAAATCAAGGTTTTCACAGCCTTGACCTACAGCAGGGTTGGAGTGACCTTGCCAGTATAGAAAATACTGGGTACTGGAATCCAATGACTTCTAGAGAACCACATTGTTTCCACTCCTGACCATAGCATCTTACATGTAAATTTGTATCTGATTAATCCATGTCAAAATTGTGGCCATCCAGGTGTTTGGGACTTCAGCTCCCATAACTGAAGCAAAGTGGGGTAATTATCTCTGGGCCCTTCTACACTGCCATATAATCCAGAATATCAAGGCAGATAATCCATATTATCTGTTTTGAACTGGATTATCTGAGTCTACACTGCCAAATAATCCAGTTCAAAGCAGATAATCTGGATTCTATCCAGTTGTGTAGAAGGAGCTCCAGGCTCACATACTGGGAAGACAGCAATAAGATGCTGGAGGACATAACTATGTTGTTGTTGTTCATTCGTTCAGTCGTCTCCGACTCTTCGTGACTTCATGGACCAGTCCACGCCAGAGCTCCGTCGGCCGTCACCACCCCCAGCTCCTTCAAGGTCATAACTATAGATGCTGTGAAATCTGCTCTACATCTCCTAAACTACCCTACTAGCCTGGTGTGCAGCAACAAACATTGTTTTCAGAGTTGATTTTACTTTCACACTGATTTCTGTAAGGGAAGGGCTGTGCCATTTGAATTTTTGTGACAGGCAGGAAAAAAATATCTTGAGTCAGCTCTATAATGTTCCCTAAAGCATATATTCTAGAATAACTTCTCAATGTCTTGTCATCATTGAACTCATTACATGGAGACTTGCCTGAGCTCCTACTTGGTTTTGACCTAACCTTAATGTATTCCAATGGACCTACAAACTCATGGGGTGGGTATGCACGATTGCAAGTTGTGCAGTCATGCAAAGGAATATTTTTGGTGCACATCTTCAGTCAACCAGTGAATGGATGGACAGAGCGGAGCTGCATTCAGATGTTATCCATCTGCTGTTGGGCAACTCAAGATAAAAGCATTGTGGAAAGGGATACTGATACCTCCTTTTAAAACACCCCCTAAGATTTACACTTGCACCAACCCCCTTGGTAAGTCTTAGGACTCTTCCACACAGCAATATAACCCAGAATATCAAGGCAGATGATCCACAATATCAGCTTTGAACTGGAATATCTGAGTCCATATAACCCACTTCAGCAGTTCAGGATTTTATACAGCTGTGTGGAAGGGGCCCAAGTCTGGCCTTTGGCTTGCCAACAGGAGCACAACAAGCAGCAATTTCAGGTCAAAGTGATCTACATTGATAATCTTGGTTAATGGCTAAACTAATGCAAAAATATATTTAAGGAAGTCTTTAATTTTTTTTTATGTTAACAGGGAGTATGTCTGAAGAAAGAATCCTACATTCTCAAAACAAATGACAAGATTCAATTTGCTTTGCATTACATGTATATTCTACCACATAATTAAATTAGATGTCACATTTTAAAAGTTGTCCTCTACTTTTGTTTACCTTGGTTCACCTCTCTTCCAAAAGCAAATGACATTGCCACCGCACCTCTTCTGAATGAGAATTCTTGGGCAGAGGAAGCATAGTTTGAGTTTTGTAAATGGTGTAATGGTATACAAGATGTGTTGTGAGAACGCAGGGAGGTATTTATTTATTATTTATTGGGAACATTTGTATCCCATCCTATTCTCGACCTCCGAAGAGGGACTTAGGGCAGCTTCCAACAATATGAAAACACCAATAAATACATAATTACATAAAATGATAATAAATGTACATTTAAAACAGCTCGCCAGGTTTAAAACATCCTCCAAATCAGTCCAAAAAATGTGGTCCATAAAATATCATCTATGTAAGTTTGAAACATGGAATGGCTTAGACGATGCTACTGGAAAGTGAGATTAACAGGAAGAAATTGGTTATTATATGTTTTTAATGGATTTTGTATTGTATTGATTTTATAATGCTGTTTTAAATATTTTAATTGTATAATGTGGATTTTAATGGCAACGAATTGCTGCCAAGTTGTAAGCCGTCTTGAGTCGCCTTCGGGCTTGAGAAAGGCAGGTTAGAAATATTGCAAATAAATAAATAAATAAATAGGTATTTAGAAAACAGAATGTAAAAAGGCACAGATACCTGCTGTACATTGGCTACATGGCACTGGAACTGAATTTTATTATACACTTTGTCTAAGAAAGCCTTGCAAATCTTATGGATTCACTGTGACTTGAAGCCATGTAAATACAGAAAGTAGATGGCAACATATTCAAGGCCACCTGGTAAATTACCTTTTAAAATTACCAGAATGTAACTGTAACATGAATCACTGTGCCTAAACAGGGGACATAGGAGGAAACCTTTAGAAAATATTCCTGATTAAGCAGCAGACTGTTTAACAACTTTGGTGCAATTGTTTTCTGTCCTTGGAATATGTGAAAGCTATTCTAAACCACTGCCTGCATTTATCATCAGCAGACACTCATTCACTTATCAGAAACATTTCAGGGCTCTTGGGAGTCATGATAGTTGCTATGTAAACCAAGTATCTATTTTAATGCAAAGGAGGAAATGCCAGCAGAACAGCACATAGGATAAAGGACAGGCGGATTCCTCAACCCGCCAGGTTGATTAATCCGGTAGCAACATCCATTGCGACTTTGCAAAGTTTTTAGCATGGGAAATATGCTCACTGCCATCATTTCCTTTTTCCCTTCTGAGAGCTGCCAGAAATTCATCTTAGGGGACCTTGAAGAGATGCCAATTGATAAAATGGTGGATCTGAGCAGCAGGCAAGTGAGACGGTTTCCTTTGTGTGTTTGTTCTTTCCGAGAGCTGGTCAAGCTGTACCTGAGCGACAACAAACTGAGCCATCTGCCTCCTGAGCTGGAACAGCTACAGAAACTCCAGATCCTGGCACTGGATTTCAACAATTTTCATACGCTGCCTTCAGTGGTCTGCACCTTGAAAGAACTAAATATCCTTTATCTGGGCAACAACAAATTGGGAGATTTACCGGCAGAGCTGTGCCAGCTGAAAAACCTCAAGACCCTATGGATTGAATCTAATCGCCTGTACCATTTCCCCAGCGTGGTTTGTGAGTTGAGGTACCTCAAGACCCTGCATGTTGGATCCAACGCTCTGCGTTCCCTGCCTGGGCAGCTTCGGTACCTGAAGGAGCTGCGCACCATTTGGCTTTCAGGCAACCAACTGGCCAGTTTCCCCCCTGTGCTCCTCCACATGCCCTTTCTGGAAGTGATTGATGTGGATTGCAATGGCATCCAAGATTTCCCTAACCTCACGCACCTCAGCAGCTTGAAGCTGGTGATCTATGACCACAACCCCTGTAGAAATGCCCCCAAAGTGGCAAAGGGGGTTAATCGGGTCGGGAGGTGGTCCGAGGAAAGTCCTGAGCCAAGGAAGCGATCTGGTCTGGAAAGGGACAGAGGGTCTGAGGATATTGATTCCCTTCTCCCTCCTCCTCCTCAATCTCTCAGACGGTCCAAGTAAGGAGCAACAGAAGCTACCTCAGGTACCAAAGGTCACAGAACTGGTGGTGTGTCATTGAGTTTCCCTCGACCAGTCTGTAGAGCACCAGTCAAAGACTATGTGTTTAAAGTAGGAGAGTGGGTTCTGCTTTTACAGACAAAAATCTTGCACAATCGCGCATGCATGACTTCACCAATATGTTTACATATTGTTTTAGTAATAATTGGAGCAACCGTCTCAGTGACAAGACAAACTTAAAAGCACACAACAATCAGCCAGCAGGGGTAACTTATTTAGGCATCTCCCATTTCTCTAAAAATCCAAATACAGAAGCAAAATCGTGTTAACATGAGTCAGTAGGGAGAAATCCATAATATACAAAGATCTTGAAGCTCCACTGCCTTGCTAGATCAAATGGAATCTAAAGCAGTAAATTTTGAAAGAAAGCCAGTGTGGTGTTGTGGTTTGAATGTTAGACTAGGACATTGGGAGACGATGAATCGAAACTGTCTTGCAGTGGTTTAAACAGTTTATTCTGTAACTATTCTGTGCCTTTAAGTAGAGAACACTTGTTTGGTCACACACTTTTAAATTTAAACACGATTTTTGGATTGGGGGGGCTTTGGGCTCGGGTACTATTACTCACAAAAGGTATCAAAGCCTATAAGGAAAACATCCACATGCTGAAGCATCAAACTAAATTGTAATCCAGACAAAAAAAGAAAGGTGACCCTGATCAGGTGACAGATCAGGGAATAGAGATTTGGTCTAGGCTGAATCAAACACTCTCCCTAACAATGCAGGTTCACATTGTCAGGTTTTCATATGGATCTCTCTGAGCCTGGAAGACCAGATTTTAGCAACAGCTAGGAGTGCACTTGCAGTTAAAGCTTGTGTGCCAGCTGAGCCTGTTTCTTGAGAGGTCATATCAAGCCATCATGACACATGCCTTAGTTACACCTATTGTAATGTGCTCTATGTGGGGCTGCCTGTAACGTTTGTAAATTTCAATTGGTCCAAAGAGCCACAGCCAAATGACTAAAGGGCTGACAACTGGGATCACACGACTCCCTTGTTGCAACAACTCCACTGGCTCCAGGCCCAACTCAAAAGTGCTGATTATGATATTTAAAATCTTACTTGGCTCAAGTCCAGGTTGTTTGAAGGGCCATACTCATCTCTCACAATCCAGAACACAGACACAATCTTAGACTTCTTACCATATAACTCCATAGCTCCTCATATATATATTACCGTATATTCCGGCATATAAGACGACTGGGCATATAAGACGACCCCCAACTTTTCCAGTTAAAATATAGAGTTAAGACGACTCCCATGCATAAGACTACACCTGCGTATAAGACGACCCCTGACTTTTGCGAAGATTTTCTTGGGTTAAAAAGTAGTCTTATACGCCAGAATATACTGTATATATTAACCAAAGGTCTTTTTCTGTTGTTCATGGAAGAGATATAAAGGAATTAAAAGCTGTTGGTTGCAATCACAACAAAGCTTACTGGAAGACATTTAAATCATGTATTTGCAATCACCTCTATGTGTAAGCTTCATCTAGTCAGACTGCTGCTGCACGCTTTGCAGCTAATAGAAGACACTAGTTTTGCAGCTGAATTTGGTTATCTATCTGCTAAGTCCAAAATTAAGTTTTGCAGTCTGATATGCTTCCTAGTTTGAGGACTCCTCATCCTCTTCACACTTTCGTGTCAAACCATAAGTTGAGATCTACCAGACAGACACTGTTGGCAATTCCACATATATGTTAGGGTAGCAACCATTACCTACACATTTTCAATAATAGCTTCCTGGGATTTTATTCTTGCAAAACTACCCATGAACATAGAAAGCCAATCTATACCAAGAGCATTTCTACATTTAGTTCAGTAAGCTATAGAATCATAGAGTTGGAAGAGGCCTCGTGGGCCATCCAGTCCAACCCCCTGCTAAGGAGGAAAATTGCATTCAAAGCATTCCTGATAGATGGCCATCCAGTTAATGGAGAGGAGCTCTGAACGTTTTTAACCAAAAAGATTCCTAGCCACAGCCTGAACCTGGGGTCTTTTCAGAGGCATTTCAAAGCTATTACTGCATTACCAAACACATTGTAGCTAATTTGATATTGTGCATGTATTATTTTGATGGTGTTATTATTTTTTGATTGTGAACCACTGTTATTATTGTGCACTTGAAAAAGCAGTATACTAATGTAGCAAATATGTAACTCCTATTGAACTTCACAGGGATACCTGTTACTGAGTATTATGTTACTCCAGCTATTTCTACTTTTTATTTATTTCTAATTTTTGCTTACAAATACAGGTTCGGAAAGCTAATATTCTTTTGAAAACTGAAGTATGCTGATGGACTGAATGCTACAATTTATCTTGTCTGATTTGTGTTTTATTCTCTTAAAACAATGGTTCTCAACCTGGGGTCCCCAGATGTTTATGGCTTACAACTCTCAGAAATCCCAGCCAGTTTACAAGCTATTAGAATTTCTGGGAGTTGAAGGCCAAAAACATCTGTGGACCCCAGGTTGAGAACCACTGTCTTAAAAAGACTGCTCTTCTTAATGTAAACAGGGAGGAACACTCTGTATGTGATGGCAAACAAGAAGAGTAGCTAATGCTGCTTTTTCCTTTAGGAGTTTTGCCCAAGTAGACAGAGTTGAAATATGTACAAAGAGGAAACATAAGGGCAGTCTTAATTCCAATTTCACCAAGTATTTTTATATTGTTTTCTTTTAATGTCTCTGTGAGCTATTTTTCCACTAGCTGGCCCAACTTACTTCACAAATCTAAAAAAGTCTCAAAATCCTGTGATAAAATACCTTAATGTTCAAACTGTCACAAAATAATCATGTTCTGTAATGCATATACCATCTGCTATTTTCAGAATTCTGAAGACAATTACCAGATTTCTCCCCTCTTGAATCAACTAGGTCTCAGACTAGTTTGTCTTTGCTGTGATCCAGTACAAGAGCCAAAATAGTGGAAACATTAGTGGTTTGTATTATCTTCATACAATGTTAAAGGATCCAATTCTTAAATGCCAGCATTAAACTCTGTTCATGTGATGCCAATTGTTCATATTCTTTTCCTAACATTTCACAGTTAACAATATTTTGATACATTGGAAGGAAAAGCACTACTTCCACAGTAGCATATATATGTATGAACCTTTTATTACAGAGTACTACGCAAAGAAGACGGTGGGGAAATACTGACGTTATACAATTGAGAACAAATTGGTCTTGAAAAACAATATAAGTTAAACTAAAAGACTAATTGCATGTCAGTGCTAGATATGACAGCCCTTTACTCTGTAATCTGTTACAAGCAAAGTAACGTCTTGCAAACTGCTGGTCCATGTGTTCACGTTGGCGACAGATTACTCAACATGGGTAACGATCTGGGACTCGTTTCCTGAAAAAACAGAATTTAATAAGAGAACAATGTGAACTCAAAGGTATAGGTTACACTTTTAGAATAAATCTACAACAGTTTGTTTATAATTAGTTAGTAAAGATCAAAAGGTAAATTTCATGCACCTTTAAACGATAATCAGCATATATTTTAAGAACACAAATCAAATCTGGCAGAGTATTTTATGTTTGAACAAACTCTTCTAAGAAGTAGGAAAAGACTGTTTTACCTTGGAGCTGCTTTAATAATGTCGTCAACACGGAGAATAACTTCTGCAGCTTCAGCAGCACTAAGCAAAACCTGCCGTTTCACTTGAAAGCTTTCAACAACTCCCAGAATGGCCATGTCGGCAATGGCACCCTCTCTCATGTCTCAAGAAGATTAAATAAAAGAAATAAAAGAAAATTTAATGACATTAAAATGTATTAGTACAAATCTTATTTGTTATTTTGTGTTTTCTAACTGTGTATTAAGTGAGGTTATTATCAATAAAACTCCACATATTGTGCAAGTAACTTTGGTACAAATAGTCCAAGAGTCTTAGAACTGTTTTTCCTTATTTCTTGGTCTTTATAATAATTATCCTCCTGACTTTTGTAGTTAGTAAAATTCTAAACATAGTGGCAAATTTCTGAATTCTGGTTTAGCTTTAATTCTACTGTTTTAATTTCAATGCTGATGATGATCAGCATAACAAGCAACACAAGTAGACGTTAATGGAGCTAATGTGTTGTCAAAGGCTTTTGTGGCAGAATCATTGGGCTGCTGTGAATTTTCCAGACCCAATGGCCATGTTCCAGAAGCATTATTTCCTGATGTTTCGCCTGCATCTATGGCAGGCATCCTCAGAGGTTATGAGATCTCACAACCTCTGAGGATGCCTGCCATAAATGCAGGTGAAACATCAGAAAATAATGCTTTTGGAACATGACCATGCAGCCTGGAAAACTCACAGCAACCCAATGTGGCTAAAGTCTATTCGAAGAGGAATCATCGAACTCAGATTTGTGAAACATACATTCAAAATCAAAGTACAGGGTGAGGCAGCATAACTTCCTTTTTTTAAATGCACGCCATTCAGTTGGTTGAAGACGTAGCAGAGCGCTAGTGGTCTCGTTCGAGAGGCGGGAGTATCAAGTTTTGTCTTGACACAGTTCAGTCGCCATCATGCGTTGGAACAGTGAGGAGCGTGCTTTTGCCGTTGAGGCCTACTTTTCGAGCGGATTTGGAGTGGCCGGCTCGCTCTCCAGATTTGGCCCCTTGTGATTTTTTTTCTATGGGTTTTTTTGAAATCCCATATTTATGTGAACTGTCCAAGGACCCTACAAGATTTGAAGACCAACATCCAAGAAGAAATTGCCAACATAATGCCTGCTATGCTGGCAAGAGTCATGATAAATGCCAGAAATCGGTTTACTCAGTGTATGGAGAATGGGGACATCACCTATCTAATTTGATCTTCAAAACTACGTAAAACAAAACTTTAGGTATGCGCCTACATTATAAAATAAAAATTTATGATTCATACAATGGGTTTTATTAAAATTTGAAAAAAGGAAGTTATGCTGCCTCACCCTGTATTTTACAACATTAAAACATGGCTAACAGTCCTTTCAGACAAATCTCAATGCCTACTTTTACATATGACTTGTAAGCTGCTCTGAGTCCCTTTCCGGGTGAAAAGGGAGGCATATAAATGTTGTAAATAAATAAATAAATACTTTCACCACATCAGCAGCAATTTGCCTCTCAACAGCCTAATTTTAACACCAGAAATAGCCCATGTATTCCAAGTCACCTAAAACGCTATACCCAAATTTTGATCTATCACTCCTGTACCAAGTCATAGCAATACAGCCTTTTAAAAAGCAAAGCAAACAATATGGAAAACTCACCAAGTCCACATGTAGCTTTTCCTTCAATGTGAGCAGCTCGAAGTTGAGAAACTAGATCCGCACTGTCATAGCCAGCATTATCAGCTATGATGGTGGGAAGCTAACAAAATAAATAGTTCGTTAGAATATGCTGAAAGGAGAAAAATGTGCTGCTGGCCAATTAAAAAAAATCATATATATTGAAAAACTATATGTATTAAGTTTATCAATTATTTTGAATCACAGACATTAACTCAGCTTCTCTGGCATGACTTTGTATTTATGTACAACTTCAAGATATAGGAGACATGAAGATAAAAAAGATTACTAAGTGGTTGCATCTATATATATCTGATCTAAGGAAATTAATATTTATCTGATTTGAAATCTGAAAACCAATTCCCCAGTTCTTCTGTTGTGCACACAAATCATTGAAATTCTTCATAACATATTTGCAATACCAATGAATCCTGGAACCTGTGTACATACTCCCAGCAGATGTATTCTTAGAACGGAACCCAATTCTTTTCATTACTATATATACTGTCATTAAATTTATAACATTTCTATGAACAATTTCATAATTCATTTAAAGCAATACAAAATACAGTCCTGATGGAAACACACCATTTACAAAGCAGACACAAATCTCAAGGAATGCAGAATATCAACTTACTAAACATAATTATTTTAAAGTCTTATGTATATTTACTAAGCAGGTACTTTCTAGTAGCCACTGTGGCTCAGGTAATACACAAACTGTTAAATCAACCAATAAGAGTTAAAAGGTGGATTAACTGATTAGCTGACACCCACAGATTTTTTTTCTTGAATGCTTGAGACAAATGCTAAGAGTAAGAAGGGGGGAAAGTCAGACACATGTTGCAAATTGTGTATTTTGGACTGTGTTTCAGAATTGTTTTTAAAAATGCAATGTAAAGGACCAGTCAAACTGAAGTAAACACATGAAGGGTCTTCAGAAAGGTAATGAACGGTTAAACTAGACTCAGTCCTGCAGACTTAAGTCCCCCAGAGTTTTGCAAACAATAGCCAGAGGAAACAAACAAGCATATCAAAGATCACTCTGTTTCTTCTCTTCCTTATTACGTTTTAATGTTTGCACTATTTCAATTCATTATTCTAAACGACTTCTGCTTACCGTACTCAGGGCCTTAGCAAATGACTCCATTGCTAATGATTCTTTGCCCGGTGTTCTTTTTGCAAGCTCCATCACAGCATTAGCCATCAGCATCTCTGAACAGCCTGAAAATTATAACATGAATTGTTAATGATAATCTCTGCATTGTTAAAGGAAGTAGAAATAAAGAAGACTGTATACTCACCTCCTCCATAAACAGTCCTGGTATCTTTTACAGTCTGGGCAAGAACACACAGCGCATCATGCAGTGATCGTTCTGCTTCATCAAGGATCTGTTGTGTTGCACCACGCAGAACTATGGTGCAAGCTTCACCTAACAAGTGAAAAATGGCAAAAGGAGTTTGAAAACACTTCCAATTAAATCAACAGTTGCACAGCAGAAATCCCAGGTCTCCTATTAATAGATCCATATGAATTTCTGCTGCATGCATGATGTTTATCTTGCAACGAGGTCTCATGCTATGTCAAGAATGCCTGAAATCCTGAGCTACACAATACCCGCCTAGACGTAACAGCACATCCTTCCCACACCTCATACTATTTCAACCAGGAGGAAGGCTACAAATGTTTCAGGTGATATGTGGTCAGGATCCTGCAGGCCACTCTTCTGGGGACCTGATAACCAATCTGTTTCCTGCAGGCTTTTCTATCCTTATCCACTTCATGGCAGACTGTTCCCTTAATAGGTGAAAGCATTCTTCTAAGATGGAGCTGGGACAAGAAAGCACAATACACTTGTCACCCCAATGGCTGTTTAGTTGCTTTCCAATGCACAAAATCCCTGTGCTTTCAACTGTCACTCCTCTTTGCTTTTTCGAGTCACCTTCATCCCAAATACTTCTGTGTAAAGGCTGCCACTGTTCCTTCATTAATAAAGAGTGGCTGGGATCCTTTTCCCACTCTTATAACATCTAGGCTTTTTCAAGGAAACGGGGTGAGAAGAACAATTGGTTTGTGGTGTGCAACCTCAACTCAATTCTCTACTCATACTGCAGGCTTGGACCAAATAGGTTGGATAGGCATGATGGATGCTATTGCAGAGTGCACAAAGCAGTCAGTTGGGTCAGAGGATCAAAGAGGGGAAGAGGAAAGGGGGACAACAAGGTGCACTACGACATTGCTTTGCAGCATAAGCCTGTTAGGTAATAGGAAAGGCGGAAGCAGAGATCTGAAAAGACAGGTTGGTCCATGTAAAATCTGCCTCTTTACATCTATGGTATAAGACATTCCAAACTATGTCCTCAAACATCAGAGCACATTCTGCTGAAAACCAATTTAAGCCACGAAGAGTGTGGCATACTTTTGCTGAAAAAGCTACCATATGAATGCTGTGTTCTTTTGGGGTTTCCTTTTGTTTTGAATGTTGTATTCTAAAACTAAAGTGTAAAAAACAAAAAAGGAAGCAAACTCCTGCCTAGAGTTAATAGACTGGACAGATTATGGGGTATAATGGGTATACATATACTAGGTGGGAGGAATACCACCATTATCTTAAGTTCACTGATGGTTGCTTTGTGTGGTTGGAGATGTCAATTCCTGACTGGTCGGCTTTGACAGTAATTTCAAGGCGCACTGTTTTTACATTGTTTTTGTATTTTCTCCTTGACACATTCTTCCTGGAGTATACGGTCACTCTGAACAACACTTTGTAGCAGAACCTACCCATAGCAACTCCAGAGAAATGAATCAGTTTATCTTCACCAATCATTACTTCTTCAATCAGCTTACAGCTTCCTAGCTTTACTAGTTCTGGATGATCAAAAGTTGAAGCAATTTCGCCGCCTGAGAATATAAGTCAATGAAAACCATTTTGATTAGTGTGAAAAAGTTTGAGGCAGGTTAATTTCTAAGTCGAAATATAAATGACAACATATATTGTTATGCAATAATATAAAACATGTATTTGGCATAGCTTGGCTTCTAGCTGTTATAGTTTCATATGCCAGCTTTAAGACACTTCTTTAATCTAGCTATGTTACCTTTCAGTTAGTTTAGATAATGGTTATGATGATGATTCAACACGGGTTCTCAGATATTCACAAGTCTTTACAACATCTCCCATAATAATTTCCTGCAAGCCCCAAAACATATAGCATATTCTGTACTATGACAGTACTGCTTATGGATACCTCGCATCTAGAGAACATTTTGTGTAAGTGAAAGATACTTCAGCACACTCAAAGACAAGAGTGGACATTCTGAAATCAAAATCCTACTGGCCAGCATAATTATGTCAGCACAAGTAGTGGTAACCAGTGGCTGAGATGGGCAGAAAGTACTCCAGAGATGAACTTTTTGGTTCCTAATCAGCTTGTCTTCTCAAATTCAAGCTTTTTAGATTAGATTGGTGTTTAAAGTTATAGGAATTATGGAGAGACTTCCTTAGAAAAAAATCAGACTATTTTTCAAGCACCTGCCTCAGACATCTCCCTTTTAGTCATTATGTGACAAAATCATATTCAGGAATGTCCCCCAACCTCAAAGTAGGCTTCTAGAAGAATGCTCATGGGTGCAACAGGAAGAGACAGGAAAGCCCATTGCTCAGGAATTCCACCTACAGTTGTCTAACCCCAAGCTGGTGTCTTTCACACAAATAAAGGCTCATCCCATACCACATAAGCGGGTTAGAGAGCCTGTTTTTTATTACACTTTTAAATGTATGATGTATTCATGTATCACCTTCTTTATAATAAATTCCACTTTCACCCTACTAGTTCAACCTAAATTAAAAATGACTGCAAATGCAAGGCAAAGGTTCAACATCAATTCTATAGTACGTTATTCTTCATTTCTACCTGTAACGAGAGCCAGACGTTCAACTCCAGCAAAATCTGCATGTTCAATAGCCATAACACCGGCAGCGGCAAACATCTGTTCTGGGTAGTTGTAAATAAGTTGCCTGTAATTAAAATGCGTTCTTAATAATGAGGCAGTAGACCAGAACCTCTGGAAACAAAGAATACGACTGTTCCTCAAAAATTTGGGAAGTTTCCCAAATTTTAAATCAAGGTTCCCCTTGAAACGCCTGGGGATAATTTTTTAAAAGCCCTAACTGATTAGACAAATGATCCATCTAGTTGAGGAAAGGCAACCTCTATAGGTTGGCTCTCCCTTAAGCCTCAACTATCAGTGATTTGGTAAAAGGTTTAAACAGTTCCATGTTGCCAATCCCTAGCTTCCATGGTTTATTCTTATCACCTATTTCCTCAGTGGCCAGATGGATGCTTCGAGGAATTCCTTAAGAAGGCTCTAAGATTGACAGCCCTATCCCACGCACCAGAAGATTATGTTCAAACACATAACAATGCTAGTGGCTTCATATTGCCATCACTACCAATACTGATCAATACAATTACCCTCCAATATTTGATTGAGGAGAGAACATTTCCAACACAAGTAAGAACATGCAGAACACAGCCTATATTGATCAAATAAAATTAAACAAAAATATGAAACTTTCTGCAGGATACAGCAATAAAGTATCATATTACGCAGAAAGAGAAGTTTCTTAAATGTTAGAAAGACATCTAAAAATGTTACTCAGGCAAAAGAGAAAGCCCTCTCCACAAGGCATTATCTGGTAATACATGTACAGACATAATTATATTATGCAGCAGAAAAGTTGTCAGCAAAGGCTCTGAAGAGTAAACAATAATTTCTAAACATTTTACAGCAGAAGACATACCTGTTGATAAAACAATTTATTCCATGCTTGAGAATACGCTCAACCTTCTCCTTCATTTTCTCTTTCTCTGCTTGTTCTATTTCTGCTACCTTTGCTGTGGAATCCACTCTTACACGGGAGCCAAATATCTAAATCAAATTAGAAAAATGGCAATATTAATTTTACAAGTTAACTTTGACTACACTAGAAAAAACATACTGCCCATAAGGATGATCCACTTACCTTAATTTTATCTGTATCCATGCCAGTATTTGCAATAAGTATTTTTGCATTTTCAATTCTTTTTGGCTGGTTGACTCCAATTTTTTTGTCTAAGAGAAAACCTGGAAAAAAAGATTAGACCTTGTTATAGCAATAAAGACACTGAAAGGCAAAAAGATACCTATATCAATTTATGAGGTCACAAACTATCTCATCGTCAAAACTTTTGCTGTTATTTAGATATAACGCATCAGAAATGGAAAAAAGAAACTCTCCCCAAGACTGGACCTTTTCCTCCATTACAGAGACCTGATCACACTTCTCTTTTATATGAATGGGTATACACAACAAATGACAAAAACTTTTTAAAATTGGGAGTATTTCAGGCACCTTTTTCTGAAAGTAAAACATTAAGAAAAAAATGTATTTTTCAATTTAATCAAGACTAAGTGAATATGGAAATGCTAAGGCTTCCTTTCAGTAATCAATGGATTTACACTTTTTTCAGTGGGAGTTTTGTTCATCTAAATTACATCACAGTTCATGCAGATTCATCTTATTGTGACACACAGGCTACTGAAATGATTGTCAATAAATAAAAAGAGAGGTACCTTCGTCTAAATAAGAATCTATTAGACTTCCTCCAAGTTTCTTGATGACATGAATAGCTTCCAGGTTACCAGAGCCCTTCAACCTGAGGATAGCATCCACTGCAAGTTTTGCAAAGTGAGCTTTGTGATGAGTAAGCAGCTTTGAAGAGAGGGTCGTCTCTGCAATATTCATCAAATCTTGATGAAACTGTTCTTCATTTTCACTGAAATGCAGAAAAGACAAACTCAACGAAAGTTCTGAGATGTGCAATAAAACACGGATCCAAAAAATCACACAGTAATCTCAGTATGTAAGAGCACGACATCTGATTCTTCATTTTTCAACCACAGTCAATTATGCAAACCTCACAAACTGCTAATGTGACACAAGAGAACCTGAGCATTTCCTGTATCAGAAACAATCCCAGGAAGCTTGACGATGTTTTGGGTATGCTATAACTTATGCATTTTGGACCCCGGGATTCATATATCATTCTGATGTCTGATGCCAGCTTTCCAGGATGAAGCAATTAAATTACACGTTGCATTACTGTTGTGAAATGCTGAATCTTCCATTATTTCAAATTCATGAATAATTAGCCTTATAGCAGAATTTGTTTTTCTGGAATTGGATGCACCTTTCCTTTTCCTCCACGATATTTAGCAGAGTGAGGGAATTCAAATAAACTTATAGTCTAGAATACTATTGAATCAAAGGGTGGAGACATTCTGAACACTATGAACAGGAAGATTTCATGTAAGAAAATAAGCAATGTAAAATCTTTAAAGATCAGGAATTCTCAAATTAGGCATCTAACAAGTCAGAAGATAACTTTTTACACCATCATACATCCACTGCCTTCATCATTTTTTTTATTTCAAAAAACCTTGTAATTATTTACCTTGAAGGACTTGGATGGACCAAAAATAAATATTTTATCTCTCTATAGGGATATGTTACACAACAACAACAAAAACAACAACAACAAATTTTAATTGGTTTAAACTGTTTATTTTTAATACTGTTTAATTCCATTTTAATGTTTGTATAATTTTAAGTTTTAATTGTACTGTATTGGTTTTATTGTGAGACGCGTTGAGTCTCTTTTTTCAGAGAGAAAAAAAGGGCATCAATAATAATAATAATAATAATAATAATAATAATAATAATTTGGAAATATTTTGCCACCAATTTTCCAGCTGTGCAATAACAGAACAATATGAAAACATCAGATCAACACAAAATCATTATTTCACAAATAAAATTAGCATTCTGCTAACAAATGCTAACAGCTCTTCCCTCCTATCGCTGCAGAGATCCACCCTTCTACTGTATTTGAGAATGATAAATTCTCCAAACCTGCTTCACAAACTAACCTGTGATCCACAGCAGATTTCACCAAGGCATCTCTTGCTGCTTTTGTGGCGTCTCTCCACCCTGCAATGATGGTTTGAGGATGGATCTTTCTTGCAATCAAGAGTTCTGCCTCCTAAAAATGAGAACAGTTTACATTAGCCTAAATTACGAATGAAATGCTATTGCCAACAAGCAAATGCTTCTAATTGTTCAGTTTTGTCACAGCACATTGTTTCAATGCTTTAGGAATCCTTCCTTCCTTAGCCTTCCAATGTTGTCTGGAATACTGACTAACAAAAGCCAATGGTGTTATTTTAATCAACAGGAAGGTACTAACATTGGCTATGCTTTGTATTCATTTACATTTCTCAGTGCAGCAAGCAACTCTTTTCAAATTCAGTGCCACTACTTTTACAGAAACATCACACCTCATGTTATGCAGTGGCAAATCACAAACTAAAATAATGGATTTGTTTTCAATTAAATGAATTTATTCTCAAAATTAAAATTATAATAGTTCAAGAATTCAACATCCAATTTTTGAAATGATTGGCAAGAATTCAGTATTGAAGTTACAAGAGAACAATCAGTTCCCTAACCACTAACTCCATCTACAATGCCATATAATGCCTTAGACAGTGTATCGTCAGCTCAACCAACATCTTATGTCTGATCTGGCTGCCTGGTAAAGTATGTTGGAAAGGCAAGGATATACAGAATTCCAGACATTAATTATAAAAGCTGAGTTATTATTTTGATCTATATCAACACAGTAGTACCATATAAAGAAATATGAAATAAATATATAAAGATATGCCATAATACATTAAAGTATTTTATTACCCTTAGCAATTCAGCTGCTAAAACCGTTACTGAGGTTGTTCCATCACCAACTTCATCATCCTGAACTTTGGACATATCTGTAAAAAAATGCCATAATATCAACTTTGTTACTGAATTTTTATACAGCATTCCTGGTTTGCTGCATATGCAAAAATAAGAAACTAAATTCTTCTAAAATAGAAGTTCACACATAACTTACACTTCACTGCATGACAAGCAAAAGCAGAATTCTACAGAAATTGACTTGCATATCCAGATTTTCTCAGAATATTAATCTGGTTGATTTATTGCAGATTAAAAGTACAGTTGGCAATATGAGACTGAGGAGTTGCTAGGACACTAGTTCTCAATCTGTAGGTCCTCTGGTGTTTTGGCCTACTACTCCCAGAAATCTCAGGCAGTTTATCAGCTGTTAGGATTTCAAGGAGTTGAAGGCCAAAACATCTGGGGGCCCACAGGTTGAGAACCACTGCTATAGGAGAACATGTGTATGCTAAACTTTTTTACATCACTCACTGTAACAACATATTCTAACTATATGTTCAATCAAACATACCGACTAAAATCTTGGCTGCAGGATTGTCAACTCCAATAGCTTTCAAGATTGTTGCTCCATCATTGGTTACGGTCACTGTACCTTCTCTTCCAGTACTCAGAAGTATCTTGTCCTACAAATCGACATTTAGCAATATTAAACACCTAACATGGTAACACTGACAAAAGCTATATATTTCCAAATGCAGTAATATCTTACCATTCCTTTAGGCCCCAAAGTGCTTTTGACAAGGTCTCCAATGGCAATGGCCCCAATGAAAGAGGACTGAAATAGCGTAAGGAAAAAGTATATACATTACTCCATCAGAAGAGATTCAGACTGTTCATTTGTAATTAATCAAAGACATTAATGCCCAACTATAGTTCCAGATTTTAGAGGTAAGGGTAAACTTACCAAGCGAGCTGTTTCTGCTCTCTCCTCATCAGCACCAGCCTTGAATATGTTCACAGGAGCTAACGACAGGGATGCCTATAATTACAACATTCAACACATAGCAAGCAATTATTTTTGAGATATATTGTCAAATAATATCTATGCCTCCATCCATAACCACACTCACAAACACCTGCTGACACTGCAGGACCTTCTTCCCCTCCTCTTTTCTCTGGAGCTCCCCCGTGTTGTCCAAGCATCTGCTCTGAAGTGTTTCCTATCCTTCCAAAATAGTTTTCTAAAATACTGGAGGGGAACCTCCAGTATCTTAGAATTGCCCTTACAGTCATTCCACACGCTGCATTTTACAACATTATTTTTTGATAAATGATATTTGTGGAATCTAACCTCACAGTTACAATTTAACATTTCAATTAAACTTGTTAGGTTGAAGGATAGGATTTCAACCTATTTTTAAGTTTTGCGTACATAAAATAATTCTATTTTGCCACTTATTTGCTATCATAGTTATATATGGTATTCTGAGTCTTTCAGAGTGAACTATGCAGAGGAAAGTTGCATTACAAATGGAATTAGGACTGACTTCACATATACTGTGAATTAATGCAATTTGACATCATTTCAACCACCATGGCTCAATATCCTGGAGTCTTTTTCAGTTTGGTGAGGCACCAGGAGCTTTTCATAGAGAAGGCTAGAGACCTTGTAAAACTAATTCTATAGCACTGAACCATGGAAGCTAAAGTGGTATCAAACTGCATTAACTGCACAGTGCAGATGCATCCATGGTCTCAAGATTGGGTCTAAATACAAGCCTCTATTTAGCAGATAACATGGATCTTGCTTCTCCAACCTTGGGAATTTTACCTCAGCTAATATAAAATTAAAAAAATCTTTTATTCCTATGTTTCCCAGTAATGCTACTTCAGACAGAAAGAGGAAGACAAAGAACAGACGGAACAGGCCTCCTGGATATAGCCCTTCTATAGCTCCCAAACTTTTAAAGTATAAAGTGGCAACAGGAAACAGGGAGATTAAAATCTGCAGGATATACATTTCTGTATTATGGGTTGAGTCTTCCTTCTTGAAAATGATTGGGATATGAAGTGTTTTGAATTTTGGAATATCTGCAGATACATAATGCAATATCTTGGGGTATATCTACACTTAATATAGTTCTCCAGCAAAGGATCACCGCCTTGTCGGGGCGCTGGAGCTTGAGCACCTCAATGATGTCATGAGCGAAACCGTGAAGGGCCACCCAAGACGGGACGGTCGTGGCAGAGAGGTCAGACCAAGCGTGATCCCTGGGGAAGGCAATGGCAAACCACCCCAGTATCCTTGCCAAGAAAACTAAATGGACCAGTACAACCAGAGATATGTCGGTATGCCATTGGAAGATGGGACTCCCAGGTCGGAAGATGGCCAAAATGCTACTGGGGAGGAGCAGAGGATAAGTTCAACTAGCCCCAGATGTGATGACGCAGCTAGCTCAAAGCCGAAAGGAAGGCTAGCGGCCGACGGTACTGGAGGTGAACGACGAATCCGATGCTCTAAAGATCAACACACCATAGGAACCTGGAATGTAAGATCTATGAGCAAACTGGATGTTGTTATTGGCGAGATGTCAAGACTAAAGATAGACATTCTGGGGGTCAGCGAACTGAAGTGGACTGGAATGGGCCACTTCACATCAGATGACCACCAGATCTACTACTGCGGACAAGAGGAACATCGAAGAAATGGAGTAGCCTTCATAATTAATAAGAAATTCGCTAAGGCGGTGCTTGGATACAACCCGGAAAATGACAGAATGATCTCAATTCGAGTGCAAGGAAAGCCTTTCAACATTACAGTGATCCAAATATACGCCCCAACCACAGCTGCTGAAGAAGCATAAGTAGATCAGTTCTATGAGGATCTGCAGGACCTACTGGATAATACACCAAAAAGAGACATTATTTTCATTACAGGAGACTGGAATGCCAAGGTGGGAAGTCAAATGACAACTGGGATCACAGGCAAGCATGGTCTGGGAGAACAAAATGAAGCGGGACGCAGGCTGATAGAATTTTGCCAGGAAAACTCACTGTGTATAACGAATACTCTCTTCCAACAACCTAAAAGACGGCTTTATACATGGACCTCACCAGATGGTCAACACCGAAATCAGATTGACTACATCCTTTGCAGCCAAAGGTGGCGGACATCCATCCAGTCGGTGAAAACAAGACCTGGGGCTGACTGTAGCTCAGATCACGAACTTCTTATTGCTCAATTTAGAATAAAACTAAAGAGATCAGGGAAAATACACAGACCAGTTAGATATGATCTCACTAACATTCCTAGCGAATATACAGTGGAAGTGAAGAACAGATTTGAAGGACTAGATTTAGTAAACAGAATCCCAGAAGAACTATGGACAGAAGTCCGCGACATTGTTCAGGAGGCGGCAACAAAGTACGTTCCAAAGAAAAAGAAAACCAAGAAGGCAAAATGGTTGTCTGCTGAGACACTGGAAGTAGCCCAAGAAAGGAGGAAAGCAAAAGGAAACAGGGATAAAGGGAGATATGCCCAGTTAAATGCGCAATTCCAGAGGTTAGCCAGAAGAGATAAGGAACTATTTTTAAATAAGCAATGCATGGAAGTGGAAGAAGACAATAGAATAGGAAGGACAAGAGACCTCTTCCAGAAAATTAGAAACATTGGAGGTAAATTTCAGGCAAAAATTGGTATGATAAGAAACAAAGATGGCAGGGACCTAACAGAAGCTGAAGAGATCAAGAGAAGGTGGCGAGACTATACAGAAGATCTGTATAGGAAGGATAATAATATCAAAGATAACTTTGACGGTGTGGTGAGTGAATTAGAACCAGACATCTTGAGGAGTGAGGTTGAATGGGCCTTAAGAAGCATTGCTAATAACAAAGCAGCAGGAGACAACAAGATCCCAGCTGAACTGTTTAAAATCTTGAAAGATAGATGTTGTCAAGGTGATGCATGCCATATGCCAGCAAATATGGAAATCACAAGAATGGCCATCAGACTGGAAAAAATCAACTTATATCCCCATACCAAAAAGGGAAATGCGAAAGACTGCTCAAACTTCCGTACAGTGGCCTTATTTCTCATGCCAGTAAGGTAATGCTCAAGATCCTGCAAGGAAGACTCCAGCAATACATGGAGCGAGAGTTGCCAGATGTTCAAGCTGGGTTTAGAAAAGGCAGAGGAACGAGAGACCAGATTGCCAATATCCGCTGGATAATGGAGAAAGGCAGGGAGTTTCAGAAAAACATCTACTTCTGCTTCATTGCCTATTCTAAAGCCTTTGACTGTGTGGATCATAATAAATTGTGGCAAGTTCTTAGTGGGATGGGCATCCCAAGCCACCTTGTCTCTCTCCTGAGGAATCTGTACAAGGACCAGTAGCAACAGTCAGAACTGACCACGGAACAACAGACTGGTTCAAGATTGGGAAAGGCGTACGGCAAGGCTGCATACTCTCACCCAACCTTTTTAACTTGTATGCAGAACACATCATGCGATGTGCGGGTCTTGATGAATGCAAGGCTGGAGTGAAAATTGCTGGAAGAAACATTAACAACCTCAGATATGCAGATGACACCACCCTGATGGCCGAAAGCGAGGAGGAGCTGAGGAGCCTTCTAATCAAGGTGAAAGAAGAAAGCGCAAAAGCCGGATTGCAGCTAAACGTCAAAAAAAACCAAGATTATGGCAACAAGAATGATTGACAACTGGAAAATAGAGGGAGAAACCGTGGAGGCCGTGACAGACTTTGTATTTCTAGGTGCAAAGATTACTGCAGATGCAGACTGTAGCCAGGAAATCAGAAGACGCTTACTTCTTGGGAGGAGAGCAATGTCCAGTCTCGATAAAATAGTAAAGAGTAGAGACATCAGACTGGCCACAAAGATCCGCCTAGTCAAAGCCATGGTATTCCCTGTAGTCACCTACGGATGTGAGAGCTGGACCTTAGGGAAGGCTGAGCGAAGGAAGATGATGCTTTTGAACTGTGGTGTTGGAGGAAAATTCTGAGAGTGCCTTGGACTGCAAGAAGATCAAAGCAGTACATACTCCAGGAAATAAAGCTCGACTGCTCATTGGGGGAAAGATATTAGAGGCACAGATGAAGTACTTTGGCCACATCATGAGAAGACAGGAAAGAGAGAAGACAATTATGCTGGGGAAAGTGGAAGGCAAAAGGAAGAGGGGCCGACCAAGGGCAAGATGGATGGATGGCATCCTTGAAGTGACTGGACTGACCTTGAGGGAGCTGGGGGTGGTAACGGCCGACAGGGAGCTCTGGCGTAGGCTGGTCCATGAGGTCACGAAGAGTCGGAGGCGACTGAACGAATGAACAACAACAACAATATAGTTCACCCCTTTAACTGCCCTGGCTCAATATTATTGAATTCTGGGAGTTGTACTTTTTCAAGGCTTTCTCTTCCAAAGAGTGTTGGTGCATCTCCAAACTGCAAATCCCAAGATTCAATGGCATTTCGCCCTGGGAAATTGAGATTGTGTCATTAGTTCTGGATATGGGGCCCAATGTGGTGCACAAGATGGATTCTGTGTACACTGAACCATCAGAAAGCAAAGATGTCACTATATCAACCACTTATGGAAACAATTTTGGAGCAGTTTGGCTTTCCCATTAAGAGACCCTCAACTGGAGTCAGAATGGAGTGTGCGTTTGATATAAACAGGAAGAGTTGCTAAGAACAAACCAAGAAGGTGCTGTGTAGTTCTTTTAGTATTTAACTGTTTTTTTAATGTTATGAGTGATGTATGTTTCAATCTATTTTAATATTTACATGCTGGAGATATTAAATTGTATTGCTTTCCCATTGTTGTGAGCCAATTTGTGTCTAAATAGCAGAGATAAAAAATCACAGAGCTACAGATAAATATAGTATTATCTCACATATAAGTCAGTATCTGTATGTATGTTTGTTGTTTTGTTCGTACCCCAAAGGCTCCTCATGGCATGATGGATCTGGACCAAACTTGGCATACGTACACTTCATGATCCAACTTAAGATAATTGAGGGGTCTGAAGTAACAAAGCCACCCCTTTCAGGCCCAAGTCTGCGGGAAAGAAAAGCAACAGAGCTGACTGGGTGTGGCTAGGTGAAGTGGCCCTCTATGACGTGACTGGGAAAGAAAGGGAGCACAACAGCTTGGCTGTTGCTAGGTGGCATGTGTATGAGGTGAAAGAACGAAGGCGGAAAAAGGAAGGGAAAGGAGAAGGAAATGAAGGGGGAAAGGAAAAGGACTGAGGAAAGTTGAGAAAGGATAGGGGAAAGGTAAGAGAGGAGAGACAGAGAAAGAAAGAATGGAAGAGGGAGGGAAGAAGAAAAGTGTATGAGGAAAAGTAAGAGATGAATGAAAGACTGGAAGAAAAGAGAGAAGAGTGTATGAAGGAAAGAAAGGAAAGAAAGAAAGAGCCATAAAGAAAATACATATCTGGGTGTATATACCCTAACAACAACAAAAACATTATGTTACATTATTTTTGTTCCTGGGTTATAAATGTCATTTCTAAAAGTATCTACCACCCTATTGGACAGGATTTTAATGGTTATTAGAACTATAATTTATAGCCCGGATACTTGGATCATAGGAATGACTGGTTTTAAATGGCCTTACACACTAGTTTTAGAAGGTTTCATAGTCTTTTAAATTGTTTTTATTTATGTTTATAGTATTGTTTTATATTGTTTTATTAACTGATATGTGAATATTGGTTGTGTTATAATATATATTGTATTTGTTTGTTTTGTTGTAAACCACTTTAAGTCCCTCCAGGGAGGGAGTAGGAAATAAAAGGTAAAGGTTACTCCTTGACGTTAAATCTAGTTGAGCCCAACTCTTGGGGGGGGGGGGGGGGGGGGGGGTGTTGCTCATCTCAATTTCTAAGCTGAAGAGCCAGCATTGTCCGTAGATGCCTCCAAGGCCATGTGGCCAGCATGACTGCATGGAGTGCCGTTACCTTCTAGCAGAAGCGGTACCTGTTGATCCACTCACAGTTGCATGTTTTCGAACTACTAGGTTGGCAGAAGCTGGGGCTAAAAGCAGGAGCTCATCCCACTCCCAGGATTTGAACTGCCAAGTTTTGGTCAGCAAGATCAGCAGCTCAGCAGGTTTTATGTTTTATAATTGTGTCTATCATTAAAACATGGAAAAAGCCGATTAAACTGTAAAAACTTTGTTCTGGTGGGAGATCCTGTAGCACATTTTGTAAAGTTTTTGGGACTTCAGCTCCCACTATTCCTAACACCTCAGGCCCTTTCCTTTCCTTTCCTTAAATGAGATGAGAGACTGGGTCTTCTCGGTGGTGGCCCCTCGGCTGTGAAACACCCTCCCTATAGATATTAAATTGGCCACTTCCCTTTTAACTTTTAACAAGTGTTTGCAAATGCAGAGTAACTGACATAGAAAAATGGAACGACTGGACAATGAGTCCGGACCACGTTTTTAACAAGGAGACACTATGCATTTATATTTTATTGATTTGTTTAGTTTTTATTATATGTTTTTAATTGTATTTATGACATTGTAAGCATTGAATTTTTGCCCTGTTGACCACCTTGAGTCGTCTACAGGCTAAGAAAGGCGGAATACAAATACAGTAAATAAATATATATAAAGGCCTGAGAATGTTAGGAATGGTGGGCGTTGGTCCAAAACACCCGGAGGGCCCAAGTTCGCCCATGCCTGGTGTAATAGGCCTTAATCCAGGAAGAATCGGGCGTGGACAATGTGAGGATTTGAGTGTGCTGGGCACACAGTCATTACAGATGAAAGGGAGACCATCTCAGGCTTCGGGCCTATATGCTACAAAGCCAAACCACAGAAGCCTTCTCAGGGAGCGGCGCCTGCCTTTGTCTCGGGTGAGGAAGGGGGAAGCGAGGAAGGGACTGGAAGGAAGGAAGGGCAATGCCCACAGGAGAGCCTTGCCTTGTTTCCCAGCGCGCGAGAGCCCCTCATTTTTGGAGAGGCACGCGAGGAGTAGAGCGGGACCGGCTCCTTCCTCCAGACCCTTCTAGAACCTTCGGCCCTCCCTGCCTCCTTCCTGGCTGAGCCGCTTCCGAAGGAAAGAACGAAGGGACGAGCGGGCGCGCCCTCTCCCTGCCGCCACGCAGCGAGGAAGGCAGGAAGGCCCGGGACTCACCATGGCGACGGCGAAGCGTGGAAGGCCGTTACTCCAACGTTCTGAGCTGCCGCGTGCCCGCACTCAACGAGCGGAGACAACGGATGCCGGAAATGACGTCTCGGCGGAGGGAAGCAGGAAGGAGCGTTGCATGCCGGGAGTTGTAGTCCCCTTCTTCCATCAACTAGGGAAGCATTTCTCAAGCTGGGGGTCAAAAGGGTCACCAAAGACCATCAGAAAACACAGTATTTTCTATTGGTCATGAGTGTTCTCTGTTGGAAGTTTGGCCCAATTCTATCATTGGTGGAGTTCTGAATGCTCTTTGATTGTAGGTGAACTATAAATCCCAGCAACTTCAATGCCCAAATGTCAATATCTATTTTCCCCCAAACTTCACCAGTGCTCACATTTGGGCATATTGAGTATCAATGCCAAGTTTAGTCCAGATCCATCATTGTTTGAGTCCATAGTGCTCTCTGGATGTAGGTGAACTCCAACTCCAAAACACAAAGACAATGCCCACCAAACCCTTCCAGTATTTTCTGTTGGTCGTGGGAGTTCTGTGTGCCAAGATTAGTTCAATTCCACTGTTGGTGTAGTTCGGAATGCTCTTTGATTGTAGGTGAACTATAAATCCCAGCAACTACAACTCCCAAATGACAACATCAACTCCCAATAATATAATATTGGGAGCCCCCGGTGGCGTAGTGGGTTAAAGCACTGAGCTGCTGAGCTTGTTAACCAAAAGGCCACAGGTTCAATTCCGGCAAGCGGCATGAGCTTCCGCTGTCAGCCCCAGCTTCTGCCAACCTAGCAGTTCAAGAACATGCAAATGTGAGTAGATCAATAGGTACCACTCTGGCGAGAAGGTAATGGCGCTCCATGCAGTCATGCCGGCCACATGACCTTGGAGATGTCTACAGACAACACCGGCTCTTCGGCTTAGAAATGGAGATGAGCACCACACCCCAGAGTCAGACATGACTGGACTTAATGTCAGGGAACAACCTTTACCTTTACCTAAAATAATATATTGTATATACATATAATATTTATATTATAATGTAATGCAATATAATAATAATAATAATGTTATAATTATATATTTATATTACATGTAATATTACTAATAATATTATAATATAATGGTATAGTACAATATAATAATATTTAGTACTGATATTGTACTATGCTAATAATATAATATATTGTATGTATATATATCTTGTAAGCCGCTCTGAGTCCCCTTTGGGGTGAGGAGGGCGGCATAGAAATGTTAAATAAATACACATCACTTATTGCATCACTAGGCAGAATGGCAGTCCATGGACAAGGGCCAGTCGCTGAGCCATCTGCTGCCAGTCCCTGGAGTGTTTCTAGGGGAAAAAGAAAACATTGAGCACAAATATAAAAGTAAAGGTTTCCCCCGATATTAAGTCTAGTCATGTCCGACTCTAGGTGGTGGTGCTCACCTCCATTCCTAAGCCGAAGAGCTGGCATTGTCCATAGACACCTCCAAGGTCATGTGGCCAACATGACTGCATGGAGCGCTGAAGCAGTACCTATTGGTGTACTCACATTTGCACGTTTTTGAACTACTAGGTTGGCAGAAGCTGGGGCTAACAGGGGAGCTCACCCCATCCTGTGGATTCAAACCACCGACCTTTCAGTCAGCAAGTTCAGCAGCTCAGTGGTTTAACCCACTGTGCCACTGGGGGCACCATACAAATATACTGCTGCTCCCTAACATGTTGGAGAAAAACTGTCATATCTTAAGTGTTGACTTGTTGACTTGTACTTTAACATCACAGCTACATGGCACCAGAACCCATGGAAGGAGATCCATAGCCTAAGACATTAATGTGCTTTTAAAATAAGGAACTAAAGGTGCATCAACGCTTAGGTTTAAAGCACTTTCATTGTGATGGCTCAATGCTATGAAATCATGGAAGTTGTAGTTTGGTGAGACACAAAACCTTGTAACACCACAACTTTCACGACTGCGTAGCACAGAGCTGTGACAGTTCAAAGTGGTCTCCAACAGCATGTTTAAAGTGTAGATGTACCCATTGATCCAGAGGCATAGTTAAGGAGATTAGGCTGGAAGCCAGACAGCAAGTCCAATGCTCTTATATTGCTAAGGCACCATTTTCTCTTTCATACACTTTAACTCAAGATTGGTAGGCAACAATCCATCCCTGTGGGCTATGTTGATTAGAGATCATAGAAATTGTAAGCCAACAAATAAAAACTTCTAGTGGCTTTCAGTTGCTAACTCCCATCCTAGCCCAGTCTTTGTATATCCTCATCTTAAACTACAATGAGACCTTGGTATCTGCTGGATTATGGTTTTAAGACCCGATACCAAAATTAATGGAGACTAAAGTCCCATTATATTCAATGGTGCAGTAAAATTGTATCTCTTATATAAAATGGCACAATCAAAACTTTCCTTTGGGATTTTATTTGGGAGGGGGACATTTTCAAGCTGTGAATGGACTGAATCCATGGATGTCAAATAAGTGGATAGCTTATCAACAAAACTAGAGCTGATGTGATCTATCCAATGCAACTTTCTAAATCAGAGCCCAAAATTACCCTAGAAACTAAAAAACCAAAACACCAAAAAAAAAATCTGTTCAATCAAGACCAAACTTAAAACATGAATGGTTAAGTTGGTGGTAAAAATATCTTTAAAATTCCTGGGTATTAGATCTGGGCAAAGTAGATCATACATTTTATTTACTATACCTTTAGCATCTCGGCCATCACAGTTAATATTGTAGCATGCACAATAATAATCATTTGGACATAAGGAAAAATATAATCCCACCCCAACACCAAAGGAACAAAAGACACTCTTACATAGTAAAAATCAGATATTTTATTGCCATGCTACAGTTCTTATGGAGCTGGCACTGGTGAGGGGACAAGGTTGTCAATAATACAGAATACATTTTAAAATGGACATTGGGTAAGCTCAATGTAAAAGCAAGCCAAAATTAAGTGGTAGCATATGGAAGATGAAAAAGAAAATATATTAGCTGTAGAATAAATGTTACTCTCTTAAAGGGAAGGCTGGAATGTTTGAAAAGAACAATTGTGGGGAAGGTGGGGGTTTAAAACAGTTTGCAAACTGCTCAGGAATATTTTGGCAAATCTTTAGACTTTTTTTAATAAAATAAAACTCTAGAAAGCTACTTTTATACAAAGTTGCTATATTGATGCCTTTACATAGGAAAACATTTTAAAATGCAAAATGAGGACATACAACAACAGCTTTACAGTATTTTACAATGTAATGACAAAAGTAACATACAGACACAGTTTTGGCTTTTTATAGAAATGTATAGTTAGGCATTTAAGAAACTCATTTGTGGCACACTGGTGAATATAGGACTATACTGTCCATTTTCATGCTAAGACTTTAGATCAGTTGTACTGCAAATTCTGAAACATTATTTTCTTATCTAATCTCACAGTGGTTCTGAAGACATAGGTGAGACTATAATGGAATGAAATGTCATGTCTAAAAACTAAAGAAACAAGGCACCATACTTGCTGGCTGAGACATGCCATATCGGTACATCATACAAACACTATTTTCTTTTACAAAAGTGGAAGCATTTCCTATACATTCAGTAGCAATCAATGTCTTAGAAACAAGACAGCTTGCATCCAGGGTTTGGCAATCATCAGGGGGAAACACAGAATTAGTACCATATATTATTTTTAATACAAAGTGTGTGTATTGCATTGAAAATTAACAGGGCATTCAGGTTGTTGGCATCCATTGCTAAGTAAAATGCGAAGTACATAAATTCCTGAGTGAAGGACCCTCTCCGTTTTCAAACCCAATCATTTTACACACAGTACTCCAAAATTCAATGCACCAATAAAATCAAAATTCAAATAGTAATTTCAACTTTAAACACAAATAGGAATTTTAAACTTTCAGGTTTTTAATAGTACCGTATGTTCAGGCCATATGTGAAAGTTAGACACGTCACTTAATCTGAGGCAAACATGATGCTTTCGGTGAACAGAATGTAAGTTATGTGGGAGAATGTTTAAACAACTCTTTGCAGGAATGGAAGAAGGAAGCAGGGAAAATTTTGTGACAAAGGACTATTTATCATCTTTACTTCACTTTTACACTGCAAACTTATGTTTAGAGATGCAGAGGGGCTGAGGACAATACTACAAATTCCAATATGAAGCAAATTTAAATGTAGCTGTCCTTGTGACTGGCTGTCACACATTAGGCTGGTTGTCAAACTATTCCAAAAGGCCTTAAGGCATGTATATGTAAAGTATCTATGGTATCTATGTAATCTGGTCCTAAACTGTCAATCAGGTCTAGCCCCAGATTACAAACTTTATGGCAAGATCTCTCATGGCAAACCCTTTATCAACACTCGGGAAGACAGCCTTTTTAAAAAACAGACAATCTCATTCATAATGACAGCTATACATTTCATTTTATACATAAAAGTACTTTTAATTAACATAGCAGAAAGCATGTACTTTACCAAGTATGTACTATGCCAACCTAAAAAAATGCTAATAATGTTTTCAATGCCCTTTGAAATTATAGTTTAAAACTTTCATTGTAAAATTCAATTGTTCATGAACACGAAAAAGCAATGTTGTCAAACATTAAATTTCATTCTCATTCTCTCACACAAAATACTATCCTAGAGTCAATTCTCGGTTGCAACCTATTAAGAGGGTGGAACCCTGGAAAGGAAAGGTCCACATCCTGTCCTTCCCCTCACAACAAGATGGGATCCTTCTGGACAATGGAGGCTGCAAGGGACATGCTTGCTGGCAGAACGGTGGAGTGGCCCAAACTGAGGAGAAGCACCATGAACATGAAGAGCTCAAGTCATATAAGGACCTCCTCCAAGCAGCATTCTGCCTTGCAATCCCATAGCATTCCACTAATCTTCAGAAACAGAAGGGGAAGAGTATGGGAAAGCCCTGGTCCCTGAACTTCCTTCTACTTATGGTTTCAGAATCCTACTGATGCTGTAGTTCAGCAGAACCTCCAAAAAGCATCTTGACTCAAGAACAATATTAAGACGATTAATATCTAGGGTCATTCCACACATTGTTTTTAAAAGGT